CCTCTCTCTCTCTCTCTCTCTCTCTCTCCTTCTCATGGAAATCTCCCCATAAATACATCCCGTCCCCCAGCCGCGCTAACAATGGCCCCCTCCCTCCCTCCCCCCAGCTACTTCTACTGGCCCAAAACCGCCCAGAGCGCCACCAGAAGCTACCCCCGCCACGTCGGCCACAGGGAGCACGTCTGCGTCGACTGGGACCACCTGCAGCGCGAGACCTCCAAGACGCGCTTCTCGATACTCGGCGAGGAGAAGCTGCTCGTCAACCCCGTCAACCCGGCGGCGAGCCTCAACAACGTCGTGCGGCCCATGTTCAAGAACTACAGCGTGTACGACGGCGTCGATATTCCGGAGCTGAAGCTGTTCGAGGGCTTGGAGGATGGCGGCCTGGAGGAGCTGCAGCAGATGGCGAAGGCTGGTGGGAGGAGGTAGAGTCAAGGGGTTGATTTGTTGGGTGAAATGGAGAAAGCAAAGGGAGCGGGTGTCTTTAGCGTTGAAGTTATCGCGAAGAAAAAGATGGGATGGACGGAGTGCGATTCAAGGTAGCTTAAATGGACTTTGACTACTCATCTGTAAAATATGATTTTCAAGCGATCGGTTCCCTCCTCGAGGCTCCTCCTCCCTCCCGCTCCTTCTCCACCCGCTTTACAACCAGAATCACTCGTCAGGCAAGTATGTCTGCAAGAAGGCAAAGGTAAAAAGAGAAATATGAATATGATATTGCCAGACTATTGTGAGACAAGAGGGGCGGATGGGCAGGTTGGGTTTTTGGAGATATAAAATCAGATCAGATCAGATTTACCAAGTGGAAGCGGGAGCGGCAGCGGCAGCGGCAGCGGAAGGAGGAGGAGAATGACGAGGAGGAGGAGTATAAATAGATAATTGATTGAAAGAGGGAACGAAAGAAAGGAACGAGGTGGGTTTGTGTACTGCTGCATATTCTGCATATTGGCGCACTTGCAACGTAATCACCTCTTCTCCCCTTCCCTTTCCAAAACACGACCTCTGGAGCAGCACAGCAAGGACCCTGATGCTTCAATTAATGCATTGCCTACTTGTCGCCCAACATCAACGCAAAAGGAGAGAAAAAAGAAGGCTCGATATGAATGCAATGATCATCTATTCTCCACGCTAGCCACGCTCAGAGCCCCAGAGCCACACCCGCGTTCGCAATCAAACCACAAGTAGCTCTGAACCACATTCACCCCTCCATCCCATCCCCCCTACCATCGACCCCACACCATCAGGATCCCCCATCACTTTCCTCAACCGCACTACCTCATCACCGAGTGAAAAAGCAAGAAGCCCAAAGGAGAGGGAAAAAACCAAAGTTGTTTGTTGTGCAGCAAAGTCGACGCCAGCCATATCCGTAAACGCGGGGGAGAACGAGCGACGCAGAAGGTGAGGAAGGAAAGGCTTATCATCTAATCTCGTTCCGTGGATCATCCGTCTGCGGTGCCTAGATGGCGTATTTGCGTGTCCACTCTCGTGCCGTGGCCTCGTATCGGGAGCGGTCGGTCTTGTAGACGTGGGCGATTTCGGGGACGAGTGGGTCATCGGGGTTGGGGTCAGTCAGCATGGAGCAGATTGAGAGGAGGACTGGTGAGGCCATGTCAGCATGAATCAAAGGGCCGGGAGGTGGAGGACATACCCTTCGAGATGGTCAGGGCGGGGGACCACTGGTCTCGGAGAATGTCTAAACAGATGGAACCGTTGGAGTTGATATTTGGGTGGTAGATGCGGGTGGTGAAGTTAACCTTGGGGGGCTTGAACGGGTAGTCGGTTGGGAAGTGGATGGCGAGGAAGAAGACACCTCCAGAGTATGGCGAATCTGACTATGGCAACTGTTAGACCTATGCCGGATCGTAGGTTCATGCCATCGCTGCCATCGCTGCCATCGCTGCCGGAGCCACATGGTTTCAGAGGCGGGGATTCTCGTAGAAGAGAGAGGAATAGACGACACTTACAGGACCCATGATGGTAGCTTGCCAGTGGAACTAATCCAACCCACACGGTCAGTATATGATTATAGCCATAGCAGATCCCGAGTCTCCACGCAACATGTTCGTGTGCGGATCCGGCCCTTTGTCTCAGGTCGAGGGCGATCGTGGGAAGGGACGTACCAGATCATCTCCGATAGGACCAGCGGAGCAGGACGACGGTGGGTCACTGCAGAGCACACCAAGGTCAGCATGGAATCTCTCTGTATTGTTCGAGCCCAAAGATGAAGGTATTGATGATTCTGCGAGGAACCCCGCTTGCGCCGGCGCCCCACCAAGGCAACATTCCGGGCGGTGGCGATAGAAGGAGCAGCGTTCAACGTACCGGCCCAGATCTGTAAGCTCTTTGTTGATTCTCTTCAATGCCATAGTGACGATTGTATGTGTTGTGAGGGTTGTGGTAGTCGGAAGTTTGGGGGGAGGGGGGAGGGGAGGGGGGAGGTTCAGGGGGTTGTGGTGTCGAGTCTTGAGGGTTCTCGAAGGCCCAGCAAACCGAAACGAGGTTGGTTGTTCTGAGTTCTGAGGCACGACGTTAGCGGCCAGATTCCAATCTGGTCGGTGCACGTCGGCAATAGTGCGGTTAGGGAGGGAATGACGCAGAATTTTAGGTGCCGACGATAAGTCAGATAAAACTCACGGGTCTCGGAGTACCGGTAAGTATGCGGACGCAGCTGGTGGGATTCTTCCTGTGTGGTGTCGGTTTTGTGTCGATCTCTTTTATCGTGGTGGTGGTGGTAGTGGTGGTGGAGGAGGAGGAGGAGGAAGAGGAGGAGGAGGAGGTGGAGGAGGAGGAGAAGGGAAGATAAGTAAGGTAGTTGGTGGTTGAGCGTGAGTTGGTGGTCGAAGAAGGTAAGGAAAGGAACGGAGGGAAGGGCCAAGGACGAGATTTGGATTCGGCTCTGCTCTGACGTGACCGGACAAAGAGATCATCTTCTAAGGTAGATATTGATTCACGCCACCATCACGTTCTAATGAATTCGAGATATACATAGTGTTCACCCATCTCGTCCTCGAACATTCAAGTATCAAGTATCAAGTATCAAACTAATTCTTTGTTGCCATGAGTTCCGTCCATCTTTCTTAGCCAGTAAGTACCTTAGTCTACAGATAGAGATCAACCCAACCCACTACTCACCCATCCACCCACACCCCCTCTGCCTCACCGAGAGATCGTAGATACACAAAAAAAGTCTCAGTTCGCTGTCATCGATCCATGAACTTTATGTGTACATTTTTAATGGCTCCGAGACCCAGAAAACCCCGTACTTTAGCCCCCCTATACGAAAGCCTGGATACCCGTGATAGCACGTCCAAGAATCAGAGCTACATCTGTCAGCAACCACCAAATTCTCCTCTCCACGTCCAGTAACAGGAACCTCAACGTACCGTGGATATCTGACTGGCCTTCGTAACAAGTTGTGACGAACAAATTCGCTATATGCCTCCCAATTCCGTACTCATCACTCACTCCATTGCCTCCAAAGATCTCCTGCAGGATCCGGGCGTTGGCCAACGCCCGGTCGCAATTCTGTCGCTTGATCATGCTGATCATCTCCGGCGCAGCCTGACCCGCATCCTTCAGTCTTCCGACCTGGACTGCTGCCAAGGTGCCAAATGCGGCGTCCGTAGTGGCATCAGCCAGCTTCTTCTGCACCAGCTGGTACTTGGCAATCGGGTTGCCCTTGAACTGCTTTCGTTCCAAAGCGTAAGTCCGGGCTCTTGAAATGCAGTCCTCGAGTGCTCCGATAGTGCCCCAGGCGATGCCATATCTGGCGCTGTTCAAGCATGTAAAGGGTCCTCTCAGCCCCTCAATGCTCGGGAACATGTTCGCTTCTGGCACAGGGCACTCGTCCAGCTGGATCATTCCAGTGATTGATGCTCGCAGTCCGTTCTTGTCTTTGATAGCAGGTGTCTCTAGGGTTCCAGGTGGGCACTCCGACCTCTCGATCAAGAACCCCCGGATTTTACCCGTTTCTTGCAGCTTCGCCCAGACCATTAAAACATCCGCAATCGGCGAATTTGTGATCCAGGTCTTCGCCCCAGAGATTGAAAAATACCCTTTCTTTGTAGGGTGTGGCTTCGCAGTCGTCTCCATGGACCCCGGATCACTTCCGTGGTTCGGCTCCGTGAGTCCAAACGCACCCAGCAACTTCCCCTTCGCCATCTTCGGTATGAATTTGTCCTTCTGCTCTTGCGTGCCGAATTCGTCAATGCCCCCCATTACTAGCGAAGACTGGACAGACATGCCAGACCGGTATCCGCTGTCTACTCTCTCGACGGCCTTGGTGATAAGCCCAGATGCTACGTTCGATACTCCCGCACAGTCATAGCCCTTGATCGTAGCGCCGAGCAAGCCCAGCTCGCCCATCTCCTCGAGGATCTTCCTGTCATAGTTTTCCTTCCTATATGCCTCTGCCATGTCCATGTTAGCCTCCATTCTACTCCCTTTCCTAACCAGGGAGCGAGAGAGCATTCCCACGTACCAAGAACTCGAGGCAATATGCGCTCCTGGCAATACGCCTCCGCCGTTTCTGAAATGGCCAGCTCTTCTTCCGTAAACAAGCTTGCTGCGTTCAGCGGATCTTGCCAGTTGAACGACTGCGGGGTGGCGTGCGCCGAGTAGCTTCTCACGGCTGATGGGCGAGCAGCTGATGCCAATTGGCGGCTGGTAATGCGGATGACGGGTCTAAACATGTTGAGAACTGGAGGCAGAATGATATTGAGATATCAGTAGAAGAAAGAGGAAAAATAAAATGGTTTGGAAAGGAGTTTGTGGGAATCAAGTGGGAGAAAGAAAGTATCCCATCACTTTCACGCCACCTCCAGCCCTCGCCGAGGCTTGCCACATTGGGTCGGCAGTGGTCCTAGTGCCGGATTTAGTGACTGGCACTGTTCGTAACAAGAAGAAACAAGCTCTGTAAAGATAAAAGAAAATTGGGGCTCAAAGTAATATTTTCTGCAAGTTTTAGTTCGGTCTGGAACTTTCAGTTGGGGCTGAATTGGAAGTGGTAAGCATTTAGGTAGGTATCTAGAGATAGCTACAGGTACTTATCCATACACTAGCTCTCGGTGCTCATGGCCCCACTATTCGACGTGTTTCCCGAAGATGGCCCGACACTAATCGCGTCTACCTCATTCATTCGGAACTTTCCCTTTCTCTCGCTCTCTCTTCTGTACCGACACAACCTCAACCAGAACCATCATTCGACCACAACCGCGAAGATGGGTATCAAGCAGCTCTTCTCCATCATCAAGGACGAGTGTCCAGATGCCTACAAAGAAGGCGAGATCAAGAACCACTTCGGCAGAAAAGTTGCTATTGTACGTCTTCCTTCCACCCCTTCGGGCGCATCTTCTAACCCTCTCAGGACGCGTCGGTACTCCTCTGACCAAATGTACCAACATGCGCTTATAATCCCAGATCCATGAGCATCTACAGTTTCTTGATCGCCGTCCGCTCGGGCGGTGAAATGCTCACCAACGAAGACGGCGAAACAACCTCCCATTTAATGGGTATGTTCTACCGCACCCTGCGCATCGTCGATAACGGCATCAAGCCCATTTATGTCTTCGACGGCGCCCCTCCAAAGCTCAAGTCGGGCGAACTTGCTAAGCGCTTCCAGCGCAAAGCTACTGCTACCGAGGGTCTGGAGGAGGCGAAGGAGACGGGCACGGCCGAGGATGTTGAGAAGTTCTCCAGACGCACTGTTAGGGTCACGCGGGAGCATAATGCTGAGTGTCAAAGACTGCTGAAGTGTATGGGTATCCCATATATCATCGCGCCTACAGAAGCGGAAGCGCAGTGTGCGGTGCTGGCCAGGGCTGATAAGGTGTATGCGGCGGCGAGTGAAGATATGGACACGCTTTGCTTTGACGCCCCCGTCTTGCTGCGCCATCTTACGTTCAGTGAGCAGCGTAAGGAGCCCATCCAGGAGATCTTCTTGCCAAAGGTTCTGGAAGGACTTGGTATGGATCGCGCCCAGGTAGGTCCCCTGCTTTCTTTATACTACGTCTAGCTGACAAGTTTAGTTCGTCGACCTCTGCATCCTCCTCGGATGTGACTACCTAGACCCTATCCCTAAGGTCGGCCCTAATGCGGCTCTTAAAATCATCCGTGAATACGGCACCATCGAGAAATTTGTCGCCGCTGTTGAGGCCGGTAAAGCTAAGTATAGCATCCCCGAAGATTGGCCTTACAAAGACGCCCGTGACCTCTTCTTCAACCCTGATGTCACCCCCGCCGATCACGCAGACTGTGACTTTAAATGGGAAGCCCCCGATGTCGATGGACTCATTAAATTCCTCGTTGAAGAGAAGGGATTCTCAGAAGACAGAGTCCGTTCCGGAGCTACCCGATTGCAGAAGAACCTGAAGAGCAGTCAGCAAGCGAGACTAGAAGGGTTCTTCAAGCCGATCCCGAAGACGGAGGCAGAGCTGAAGAATCTGAAGAGGAAGAATGAAGAGAAGAACGATGCGAAGAAGAAGAAGCTGAAGGAGGAGAAGAAGGAGAAGGCCAAGGCTAAGGCGAAGCCGAGAGGTACCGCATAGCTTGGTCTGGAGGTTTGTATTTGCTTGCAGCATGGGATGGCGTGGAGTTTTGGCGCCTGAAAACAACGGACTGAACCTGGCATTTGCAGGGCCTATCACATAAGTGTATGTACGCACTCTACGATCTTACTTTCTTGCTGCGTTTCTGCTAATTCCTGGCTCAAAATCTCATCACTCCCTTTTTTGTGTCTTTTTTTTATGTGTCAAGTTACGCTTCCCTTTCTTCAAGCCCGAAGAAAAAAATTGCATGCATGCGTTCATTTTTCTTATGCGCTCGCTCATTCATTGCATGCGTTCATTCATTCATTCGGTCCTTAATTACATTCGCATTTTCAATTCGAATTGGAATTACCGCTGCCAATCCTGCCTCTCTCATGCGTGGAAGGCGGGTAAGTACAACAGCCAATTCCACAGAGAAAGCAAGCAAGTAGGCTGGATGGCGAGACCAAACCGGATCTGAACAGAGTAGGTCAGCCCAGAGCAGAATAGCACTGCATAAGGCGCACAAGTTCCTCCATACCGTTCCATGCGACACCACCAGACCGGAGCAGGACAGCACAAATCCAGCCCAACCCAATGCAGCCCGTCCCAAATGCAATCCACGGATAGCAGCCGGAACAGGCAAAGCATCCGAGCAGGCAAGAGATGTCGGTGGTCTCGAAAGGCCGAGGAAAGGTAGGACAAATACGAAAGTTCAAGGCAGAAAGCCGAATTTTCCAGGCAAGAGGCGAGAACGATCAAAGACCACGCGCCTTGGGGCCGCCACCACGGGCTGTGTGGGCAGGAGGTGATGGGGCTGCTGATTTAGGGCGGGCGGTTGGCTCCGGGATGGAGAAGATGGGGGGCGGTAGGGAGAAGATGGAGGGCCGGATGGGGCGGCGAGATGTCTGGGTCGGGGCCTCATTTCGTTGGTAGGCGGCTTCCGTGGCTTGCTTGTTGGCTCTGTCGGAGGGTGAGGCGGGCGGGGCGGGCTGAGCAAGTTGGCGACGTTTGTGGAAGTCGGATCTTGGAGTGAATGGATCTCCCAGTGGTGCGGCCTTCTTGGGGGTTGAAGTGAATGGGTCTTGAAGCGGTGAGAACTTCTCGGGGGTTGATGGGGAACTCGAGGAGGGCGCGGCGGGCTGAGCAAGACGGCGGTATTTGTTGAAGTCGCGTCTTGGTGTGGTTGGATCTGCCAGTGGTGCGGACATCTTCGGGGTTGCTGGGGCATTTGTCTCTATCTCCGGTCTTTAAAATGGTCAGCTTTTATATCCCCCCCTTCCAACAGGTAGGTACCTGGGTAACTGGCTTTCAGGTTCGACACGATTCTGATACTCGAAATCCGGATTCAAAATGGGAAAAAGCAGAAGGAGAAGAAGAAAGAAACGCTATCCCAGAGGAAGAAGTGAGGAGACAGAGGAGGAGGAAACAGAAAATAAAAGCAGAGGAAGAGAATAGACGAACCCAGGCGGTCCCTTTGTACCCATCTCATCATCGCCACCGCCACCGCTGCCGCCGCCGCCGCCATCTCCATGACCAGGCCCTGTTGTCTTCGTCGGCTCCTCGGCAGTACAGCGCTTGCGCTCGAACCACTCCATCCCATCCGTGTCGGGAACACCGATGAAGCGGCGCGCAAACGTGCTGAACGACTTCTCTACGCAATATGTCAAATCACATGTCAGTTAACCAGCACCCATCAATCATCGAGTGCGACCGTAGGGTATCAATTCCAGTTCCAGGTCGCTCGATCCCCCATGCTTGCGGGACAAGAAAAGAGGACGGTGGAAGAAGGGGGATGGAGGACGAAGAGGAGAAGTGTACATACCGGGTGGAAGACCTTTCGCGGCCTCTCTGTCGGACCAAGCCTGGCCCATGATCACGGTTGTTTCTCGAGGATGTCGAGAGGGAGAGTTGGAAGAGTGTATCGAATGCTTCGAGAGCGTTCGGGGAGGGGAGGGGGGGGGTTGGTCGTGGGGTGTTGTGGTGGTGGAAGAGGAGGGGGAGAGGTCGGAGAAGAACGCGCTCGCCTCTTTTATCGTCGAGAATTTTTTTTCCCGCTCCGGATCAATCTCCCACTCCGGATTAATCTCGAAGCGACGGCAACCATGGGCAACTAATCAACAAAGGTGAACCCCCGCCTGAGGCTTCGCAGGGTCGAACTGCTTGCCAGTATCGGTACTCGCAGAATAATCTACCTACCTCGACGTTCTTAGCAGCAGTCAGTCAGTAAACGCCTTCAATGGTATGCTGTGCTGTGCTATGCTACGCTATGCTACGCTAAGGGGACTGGCTCTCTGTTCACTTTTTCCTCTTTTTACAAATCTCTATCTTCCCCTCCCCCCTCTCTTCGATGGCTTTGACCTCATCGGTGCAAATGGGACTTGCTAATTTAAATCTCTCGTTCACATAGTAGTTGGGCTGGGATCAATCACTATTCGTGCTTTTGACGCCGTTGGCATAGCTCAATTCATCAATAGATATACCTACCTACCTACCTACCACCTACCAACTTGCCTCGGGAGATCGTGGGAGATTGTAGGGCATCCGGGATGGATGGATCTCTTTTTATAGACACGCTATAGAGGTTGGAATGTTATCAATGTCCATATTATCGGTATCATGATTATCTTCCTATTCTTCTATTCGTTCGTGTTCGGCATGTGTGTGTGCGTGTGTAGCCTCTAGAAAGCTACCTAGGTCAGGTCAGTTCAATTGTCAGGTAGGTGGAGTCTCTACGTGAGTCCCGTGCGATATGTGTATGTGGTTATACAATGTTCATTCTTATTCTCTCCTATTGACTACCTTACCACCTCTCCCTCTCTCCCTCCCTCTCTCTACCTCCCCTTCCCCTACATCACGCAGCAGAATCCACCCCCACCCTGTCCCCGACCAGCCTCGTAGCCAGGGAACTCGCCCGACGCCAGGGCCTTCTCCACCATCGCCTGGAGCTCCTCGGCGGACATACTCTCCAGCACCTCCTTGATCTCCTCCTTGGACATCTCGGGGGTGATGGGCTGGTGGCCGAAGGCGGAGGGCGGGAAGCGGGCCGGTAGGAAGGGCACGAGTTTCTCGAGGGGGATTTCGTCGAGGGCGCTCATAGCGGCGGCGGTCGTGGCGGTCGTGCTGTCTCTCTCGGCAGCTTGACGGGGGCGGCGCTGGGTGCTTGCGTTCTGGGAGTCGCGCTCGTGGTTCAGGCGGAGGTCGCTGAGGTATGCGGTTGCCTGTGCGTTGTTCAGCTTCAGGCGTTCCATCTGGACCTGGACTCGTTCGAGCTTTTCTTGGATCGCCTGGCCGATGGCAAGGTTGTCTTCGGATTCCTGGGCGAGGGCACTGTCTTGGAGTTGTTCGAGTTCTTCGAGTTGTTGTTCGATTTCTTGGCGTAGGGTACGGTCTTGGATTCGAATGAGTTGTTCGATGATGTGTTGGTCTCGGAGACTGATGTGGTCACGTTCGGTGGGAGAGGAGGGCGCGTTGGGAGTTGGAGTCGGGGCTGGCAGATGTTAGCTGCGGTTCGTAGAGGAAGAGGACTGAGTGGTGATACTACTCTGGGGGACGACTTACTTGAATGCTCTCCTGGAAGTCGGGTCATGGATGGCTCAATACATGCGCTCTCGTGACTGATATTGACATCTTGATCCTCATTGGCGACGATCGCATCACCCTTCGTACCGTGCTTCTTTGTAACGATCGGATGGCCCTTCGTACCGCGTTCAAATCCCCCTGTAACGGCCGTATCATCCTTCACACTGCCCTCCTCCACATCGGCCTCCTCGTGCTCCATACCATCACTGTCCTCCGCCGCAGCGACCGTCTTGCTCTTCTTATTCTTGCGGCGCTTGGGACGAGCCTTCTTTGCCTCTTGCTTAGCAGCCTCAGCCTCCATCATCTCAGGGTCGACAGGCGGGTACGGGATGCCCAAGAAGTGGGTAAGAAACTTCCCATCCGTCTTGACGTACTCCCGAGCCTGCTTTCTCAGAGCCTGCTTTCTCAAGAGCCCAATATCATCACCTTGCAGCGTCACGTAGTGTCCCCACACCCACAAACTCGCCATCTGCGTGATCTTGATGCGGATGCTGAGAATCACGTTCGTGCATGGGTCCAGCACGAAGGAGACCAGCTGCGCCATGACGCGGAGGCCGTCGTTCACCTCGCCATCAGCCTCGGTCAGGACCTCGAGGTGCATGATGCGCCAGAGGGCACTGGCACAAGCAAAGCCGTCGGTCGTATGTTGTTTAGAGTGCTCAACCTTCGGATCCTCAAGTGGGACGAGAAGCTTGTTGATGTTCTTCATGACTTCCGCCAAGGTGGAACCGAAGTCAGAGGCTTTAGCCGTGGCTCCGTCAATGAGGCGTACGACTTTGGGAGGGCGACTTCCGAGGCCGGGGACGAGCTTGAAGCCGGCCGTCTGCTGCACGAGTAAGGTGGCATCCTCGGCCGTGAGGTAAGTTGCAGCGCGGAGATGCACTGGAGTGCCCATATTTTCCGCGAGGAATAGTGCGGAGAGTCTGTTGCGAGCAGGAGATCGGGAATCCTTACTTCTGTTGAAAAAATTGGGCAGATCCTTAACAGTGTTGAGGACTAGCTTAGCGTCTGCCTGAATGATGCTCCAGTCTTGGTGTTTGTTGTCGCTCAAGAGCCACTCGTTAACGAGCCACATCGTCGTTAGCGTCAACAAGTGAATGCCCTCCGCCCATCCTTCTACCCGTGGCTTAAGGAACAGGTTACGGAGTTGAATCGAGGTGGTAGAGTGGAATACCCCCAAACCTGGAGACCCAGACGCGATGCCCATTCTCTTCATGTCAATCTCAAAGAAGTGCCAGATAGCATGACAGTTACAAACAAACATAGCCAAGACGATGGCTGCATTTTTCTTCGGGAGGATAGGTTTGTAGAATCGGGGAAGGCACTCTTTGAGCAGCCCGGCGATGCATCCGCTCACTGAATCACCATACATGTGAGGTTCAACAGCGAGGCCAACCGGCAGTAAGACAGAGAGCTCCTCGAAGAGATCCAAACTTTTCCAGCTGGAAGCTCCATACCCAGTCAGTGCATTAGAGACGAGACCAATACACTCGTCGAAAGGGGCAACGTCCTCTTCGGTGATGTCCTCGAGACTTTTCTGGAGCCACAAACAGTCCTGGAGCCGCAGGACGGGCTTGTGAGTGAGTGGCAGCAAGGAGTAGTTGTGTTGTGATTTCTTTCTCTTCTCGCCGGTGGCGCATCTCTTCTGCGTAACAGCGGTACAAGTGTCGTTCTCCACGCCCATTCCATTCTTGCCCCCCGAGAGAACGGGTCTCCCACTCGCAGCAGCGATGCCATCGTCATTCTCCACGCCCCTTCCGCTCTCGCCTCTCGAAAGCTGCTGGGCCGGGCTCGCGACGATACCCATCTCACTGAGACATGCAGCCGCAGCAGGCTCCATGCTTGTCATGAGAGATGGATTCAAATCGGCACCACTCATCTTCCGAGGAGCCCACCGCAAGTCGCCGGCATCTTCGATGCTGTCCCCGCCCTCGGAATCGGCCTCCACGCCCGTCTCGGCCAGCAGACATTCCGTCAGCGGCTCGGGAGTAGGGACCATGAGAAAAGGGCTACGCTCCAACTTCTCGATCAGCTCCTGGATGTCGACCCTAGATGGATCAATCAAGCGGCCGACCTTCAGGTTGGCGAGCAGAACCACGACATGGGTTTCTGAGGAGGGACTGAACGAGGGTTCCAATACCAGGACCCCCTTGATGAGCACCAAAGGGTTCACAATCTTCCTGGGGTACATCCGGGCGAGGGCGGGTGTGATCGTATTCTTTGGGTCATCGGCCTCGTGGACCTGCAGCTTGGTCAAGAACTCGTCGAGTGACTTGGGACACAGCACGTTGCGGAAAGGATCCGGCTTGCCCTCACCCTTGGTATCGGCCTCGGCAGTAGCAGAAGACCTACTACCACTACCGGCAGGACCCGAGCGTGGAGGAGGCTGTCTTGCATGTGCGATGGGCTCGTCTTTAGTGGTGGTAATATCATCAAGCCCCTCGAGAGCCGTGGGGAGCGCCTCACGAAGGTTACCGGTCATCGCGGGTGCTGCTTCCTTGCCTTTATTCTTACGCTGCTTTGGCTCCTTGGGATTCTCATCGATCTCCGCATCCGGAATATCGCGATACGTGAAGTCCGCCGCGTCAGGTGCCTTTCCTCCACCAGTATCAGGCATCTCGACCTCTATGCTCACCCCCGAATCGTCCCCCTCGACCGTCGCGCTTAGAAGGCTCTTCTTCTTCTTGCTTTCCGGCATGTTAATACTGCTACTCATCTCACCAGGCTTTCACGTACCGCCCGTGACGGAGTTCGCAGTAAGGTAATCGACGTGTGTGACCCGAGACCCGATAGGGAGGAGCGTAGCCTTGTTTACTTTTGGCCGTCGCTGCCTACTTCTGAATCTGCAGTGGGATTATCGTGGACGCGTCGGTGTCGGTGTCCGACAAGGGCGATCAGATAAGGTGTGTATGGTTTGTAAAGTGTGTATGATTGCCCGGAGTGGGCGTGTATGCTGCTTGAAAAGCAGAGGATGTTTGGTAATGGTGTGCGCGCAGTTGAGCACGTTTGTGCCGATTGCGAGTACGGTGTGATTGTTTGTAAGTTGGAAGAGATCGAGGAGAGCAGGCCGTGCTTGAGATGAAATAGCCGGAGGCAGCTACCGTTGGGGTGCACGATAGTAGCGCCGATGAGCCTGCTCGCGTATTCCTATTGTGTGGTAAACAAAGTCGGCGTGACTTCGGCAGTGCACCGGCAGCAACATCAGGAGTTCACTTTCAAAATCACCATCAGCAAAATACAGTAAGCAAGAGGGGTTTCGTTCGGATTCACACCTCTCCATGCGTAGCCTGATGGGCTGCAAAATTCTAGCGTACAATGCTTGTTCCCTTCTGCAGAATCCAAGACTTTGATGCAGGTCCTCCTACCTATCACATCTATCTAGAAAGCTATAACTATCTACAATTTCTCGCTCCCTTTAATCGCCGTTCCTGTCAGTTCCAAGAATGGGATTCTGAGCCTTGACTGAATAGAATCGCGAGTAAAGAAACAAGAGGGAAGTCATCAATGTGGTGGGGAATGATCTCAAAGCAAGACAAGACAAAAGAGACTGCCCCCTAAGATGGGATGGAGCACCAAGCACAGTGTGTAGACATAAGGAAAACTCAAGGAAAATGCTGAGTAAAGGACCTCTCGCGGCTGTGGTATCATCGATCCTCTCTCACAAAAATTTCCTTCCTCCATGCCTCGGTCCCTTTCCATTAGGCTTGGCCACTTCATATGCTAACCAATTCCCGTCAAGACAGCATCGAATCCTTTTTACGAATCTCTCCTGGACCCAATACCTTTGGCAATGGCGGTAGTTGCTTATCTAAGCTGCTTCTGTTCACTGACGTTCTGATTGCACTGTTACGAGTGGGACTGTAGTCTTTGGCAGGGGTAATAGGCCGGCCGTCATTATGGGCCTTCGGAGGTGTGGGTGGGCGCGGATCAAGATTCGCCGATTCCTCCCGCTCTCTGCTTCCCCCGCTTCTTCCTCCAGTGCTGCTCGTTTCGCCCCTCTCCTCCACGACAGGGAGAATCTGGCCTTGCAAGCCACTAGACCGGTCTGCACTGGGGCTACGAGCAGTGGTAATTACGCGGGAGTCGGGGCTGGGGCCATCGTCATCGCTATGCCGGTCCCGTCTCATCGCATCATTCTCGTTTCTCATCACTGTTGCGTTGGTGTGGCTCGAGCGGTACATGGTTTGGTTCTCAGATCTTCTCCCTGCTGAATCAATCGACGTTGTGTTACGGTTGTCAGAAAGGGTCGAGGTGGTGTGAGGCGGAGGCGCTGCAGCGGCCTCACGTGCCGCTTCTTCCGGGCTCTTTGTCACCCCTTCGATGAATTCGATGAAGCGGTTTCCGTATGGCTCAGGCGAGATAGGCGAGATCAGCTTCTTGTCCTGGCTGAGGCCCTCTGATTTGATATTAGCTTCACATTACGACATAACAAGATTTATGGCGTGTACGTACTGAAGAAATGTTCCAACTTCTTCACAGTCCCATAGTGAGTAAGGCAGTCAATGATCGAGAGGAAGAATATCTCCTCCCCAGGACTGTTATCCTCGTGTGTGGCCCTGAACCCTCCGTCATCGCTGTAAAATGTGAATTCTCTCTTAGCGGTGTTCTCCTCTAGGTGATCTGGCATTCGAGAACTGCTCTGGCCCATTGGAATTGGCTTTTCTTGTTTGATGATCTGCCTCAACTCCCTTGCCTTGCGCATGTTTTCCAACTTGCTGGGCGTCCTCATCAACGCTCCTGGTGGTTGGGCCTCCTCTGCCTGGGTTTCTCCACCAGGTTGAAAAACTTGCAAGGTCTTGTCGCGTAGGTTGTCTTGGTTGCCCCTCTGAAGATCATGGATTCCAACAAGCATACTGTAGTCCATGATCTTCAGCTTCTGAAGGAGGTGCACATCCTTTTCCATCTGCTCAAAGAATAGTCGCTTCTTTTCAGGTCCAAATTCTAGGTGGAGGTTCCGTCGTAGCCAGTTGAGATCTTTCAGGGTGGCCCTGGGGTTCTTCTCCAGATCTTCCTCCTTGAAGTCGCGGCCAATCGTCGACCCCTTCAGATCAAAGGTCTTGTGGATGTCCCGGTGCGGTGGGAAAAGGTTGTTCATAACAACGAAGTGGATCTTCCGCCCATACGGCATCTTGACCCGATGTAGTCCATAAAACTGCGAGAGGAGCGTGTTCGGGTTCTCTTCGACGTGTGCGTAGTAATCCTTCAAAATCTTCCTCAAAAATTTGTGCTCCGCGTGATGGATAGTCTTGATGATGTACTTGTAATCTCGAGAGAAGTAAAAGAAGCTGCCGCTCTTGCCTGGAGACCCAAGCTCGGATAGGATATACTTGCTCGTCAGAGACATCAGATAGTCGGCTGGATCAAGCTTGAATTTTCCACGAAGGTGTCGAAATACCCAGGGAGCGTAATCTTTGAATTTGAAATCGTATTTCGCAGAGGGTGTCAATTCGTTGCCAGTACTAGTGGAAATCAGCTTTGTCGAGAATCTCCACACTGGAAACTTACATGTCAAACGAAAACTTGTGCCGGGCCTCAAAGTCGGCATCCGTCAGCGGTCGGTCCAACTTTGCGTTTGTCCTGGATACAGTAAAGCGAATTCCAGTCAGCATGTTGTATGCCGTTACCCAGTTCACATGGTTCTGGTCGACCTTCGTTCCAACCACCACTCTGTCGTCATCCTCCTCGTCCTTCCGCCTCCTCTTACTAGCCCTCTTCTGCCGCACCGCTTCTGCCCACAGCATGGCATCTTCATCCGGCGGTACCTCTTCATGGGGCATATTTGAATGTACAGATTGTGCGTGTCGTCGGTTGAGGCTCACGGAGCCGCGTCGTACACCTGCCGCTATATTGGTGGGGGAAAACCTTCCACTGGCGAAGACGGCGTCGTCGGCGTCCCGAGAGTTCCGACTTGGCCCAGGTTTGGGCACTTGCAACGTGTGACGTTGTTGAAGTTGAGCATGTGGAAGAGAGTTCGTAGAAGAGGAAGGGACGAGGGGAGGAGGGTATGAAGGCGGAGAAGACATTCGGTGAGGAGGCGGCGGGGCTCGAGTTGGGGCTTCGGGGACCTGGGGGCTGCCTGTGCCGTTTGTATGGGTCGGTATCGGCGGCGGAGGGGTGGTCGGTATCGGGGGCGGGATACCCGTCGGTATCGGGGGCGGCATACTCGTCGGCGTAGGGGGCGAGATGGTAGTCCTCTTTGCTGTTTCGCTATTCCCGTTGGACGATGTCTTGGTGTCCATGGTATTGGGACCATTGCCGATCGACGCGATAGAGCTCCTGTCGGCGTACGATGTCCTGACCACTCCATTCTGATGTGCTGCTGGGCTTCTCCTCCCCCCCATCTCCGTGCTTCCATTCGTGCCAGCGCCGTTGACCGACAAAGTGCTGCCATTTCGTGACGACCTCTGGTCCCAGGTGCTCACACTTGCCCGCCCGTTCGGCAGGGAGTTCAGAAGCCCATCGCGGAGGGTGTCTCCATTCGTCTGTCCTCTGCCGCCGTCGAAATATCCTTCCGGTCCGTCCGCAACGCTGCTTTTGGCAGATGCAAACGAGGACCGGTTGTTCCCATTGACACTGACCTTCTCGTGGGATAGCCGGAGCCGACTGGAACCATCGTGGGGCAGGCTATTTGACGCGAACATAGGTCCTGTGTCGTCCGCCAGAAACGATGGCATATCAACTGCGTGTGGCATTCGCAAGACCGACGCAGGCGTCACCACCTTATCGCTCTGACTGGGGCCCGTCTATGGTCGGAGGGGGGCGGTCGAAAGGAGTGGGTGGTATGGGATGGGTCGAAGCAGCGCGAGCGACTTGACGAGGTGGAATGGAGTCGAGCCGAGTCGAGCCGAGTCGAGAATCTCTTGGATGTTGTGGTAAGTAGCTAGCAATTAAGGGAGGGCTCCTTCAATCGACGGAGCATAGGCATGCATGACTTTTGGGAGGGAGGGTAGATATGAGAATGAGGTTGAGGCGAGGTGAAGAGACGGAGCGAGTGAAGTACAGTAGCGGATTGCCCGGGCTGAGGACGATTGGCAAATGAGTGGTGTTTAAAATAGCGTGCACAATGTACCGGTACTCCTTCTCTACGGAGTCACGCTGCAATAAAACGAAATACCAGCACGAAATTATAGAGAGGTCGGTGAGCGTGCCCGAATGCACACAAGTTATATATAGAGACCGAGACCGAGACAGAGATAACAAACAAATTACATCGCCATGTTGTCTTCCTTGGTGGCCTTGTGCTGTTCCAAGATTTACCCTGGGCTTACGGTACTTGTGGGACTCCCTATATTCGGATAGATGTAAGCTTCCCGGGATCCGCTATTGCCGGTCTCCGGATGGTAAATTATCATCCTCCGTATTATTATTGTCATGAGATAGGTAATTAGAAGACGAATCCCTAGAAGCAGAGAAACTGATTCCATACCTGCGACTTGCAGATCAATTTGTTGCTGGCTGGCTAGCTACAGACAACCATGCCAGACTCAAATACGGCATTCAAGCCAAATCAAAAACGGCATTCAGGACAATTCAGAAGAATCTTCTCGCACACTTTGACGGATAGACGGGACTTGCATTTCCTGTCCTTGCTGTCCGTGCTTCCGGCTCTTACAGAACGCGTTCTATTGACTTCCTCCACTCACCAAGCCAGTGGGAAACACCTCGAAGCAAAGCGAAGCTAGGAGGGAGCAAGCGACAGCCCAACATTTTTCAATCCGTAGATATCACCTTCTCGAACAGCTTGCCGAGGCTGATCACAGGCATGCCTTGTGCGACAAACAGTCCGGGGACGCCAATGCCGCCTGTCGGGCGAGTAATTTTGATGCCGTCTAGAGAGTGGGAAGTCCGTTGTCAATTCGCTTACCCACACGCCTCTGGAGTAAACAATGCCGAGGAACTTAATCGGCCCACTTGGGAAAGGGGCAACGGCAACTTGAATCTCTAGCACGATATTCGGCGCCTCCTTCTTCCCATCCACCCCGCCGTTCAACTTGATGATCTTCTCTACCGCACCCCCTTTCGAGAAATACACCGCCGTAGTATCCGATTTCCTCGGCAGCAGCCAGACGTTCCTTCACAGAATCTACGACGGAGACTCTGGCAGCGCCGCGTAGGATTGCACTGTAGGCTGCCATGAGGCCTACAGGCTCGGCACCAAAGACAGAAATAGACTCACCGGCTTGAAAGCCCGAGATCACGACGCCGTGCCAGCCGGTCGAGAAGATCTCTGCGAGGATGATAAATTCGGCCACGTGCTCTTCACCCGAGGGGAAGGTCAGGCAGTTGAAGTCCGCGTAGGAGACACGGATGTACTGGGCCTGGCCTCCCTAGTAAGTCCCCATCGCTGGAAAGGGTCAGTCAACACTTTTCAACCCAGAAATACGGAGGGATACTGCGTACATACCAACGTATCCATAATCGCCACCGGTGAACCCGCTAGCATCGAGTCAGCTGATGGTCTTGGAGATAGGCGGAAGGGTGCTACACATGCGGGCGGGCTTACTTACATCAGTACAGAATTCTGTTCGGCCTTCCTCGCAGCTCCTCCAGCGGCCATCGGTAAATGTTGAATGACATTATCACCCAATCTCCCTTCTTGAGGAGGGAAGGAAACACCAGCTCCGATCTCAATCACAATCCCCATATTCTCATACCCTGCGTGTACATCAGCTCTCTATGGACATCAAAACCCTGCCGAAAACCAACCAGCCATGCTACGGAGCAGCATTTTACCCAAACACAAGCCACCTCGAGCAGCTACCTATACGGCCTTGGCTATGGAGGGGCTCAGAGTTCAATATCACCTCCCGAGTGAGTTGGACATCGTGTCTCAAGCGACGAAAGTGAAGTTTTCAAGACCGATTTAGGGTTGAATGCTTTCCGAGACAACTTCTAGGGGAAAAAGGAGAGCACGCTCGGAAATCTCGTACTAAATGAGCAAATCCGATCTCATAGGTAGGTAGCCGTCGCTGTGAATTTCAATCAAGGTATCATCCGGGAGCTCCCGCTTCGGAAGAGGCAAGCAAGTCCTCGATCGACTTTCATCTTGAATGGTTCTGCCCGCCTTAATCAGCACCAGCTGGTTTCTCAAATTCCTGCCCCTGCATCATCCAAGTTGGGAAAAAGGCCAAGGGCGCACCTTGATACACAACCGCCTTCATAAGCCTGACTTTGGAGACATCTTGACTGCTTGCTCTGATGCGTAAGTAGTTGTTAGACAGCCGAGGCTGGTTTTCTCTCTCTCTCTCTCTCTCCTTTTTTTCCCTGTTCTTTTAACAAATCATTGAACGCGTCGCAGCTTGCCTGCCTTGCTACTTCAAACATTGCTTGATCAAACACATGAGTTCAACAGCGAAAACGAAAGGGCCTGAACAGAAGCTTCAAATGCGAAAGCTGTTCATATCAATGTCAAGAATTTGGGTGAGGAGTCTCGCGGAAGCCGAATTGGAGGAGGCATGTCGCCGCATGTTTTTGATGCGCGGTGGCTACACGTTGCGGAGCGGATCATGGTTGGCGCTCATGCCAAGTGAGGATCGCCGTCAAGAGGCGAGACTAGCATGCCTCGAGAGATGATCTGAAAACTTCAAGGTTCTATTGATAATCATTTCATTTTGGGGATATATATATCCGTGTATATATATGATGGTCAAAGAAATATCGCTTTAGAACCGACTAAAGATTACTCAAATAAATATCCGGTGGTTCGTAAAGACGCGAGAGCATACAGCTAACCTCGAGCACCACCTCTCAACCCCAATATCGACACAGGACCCGAACGCATCGCCAGGCCCGCGACGAAGCCTTTTGAGCAGCCATTTTCCATTACCATCCTCACAGCAAGAGCATGCCCACAGCAACAACCACCAGGGTGGAGAGCACGCTGCTGGCACCGGCCATGGACGCACCGCTCTTCGGGCCGTTGGTGGCAGACTCTTCGGAAGAGGCACCGCTATCGATCCCCTTGCCAGTGGTACCCTTCATACCCATCGCGTTGCAAGCAGCCATGAACGTCGCGTTGCTCTGCAACTGCTTCAACTTGGTCTGCGCCATCGCCGCCTTCTCCTTCAACTCCTGCTCCTTGGTCGCGTCGCCTTTCGAGAGCTTCGCCAGAGTGGTGGCGTTCTCGACCTTGTTGACAAACTTCTGGATCTTCATCATCGCTTTGCACTCGTCCTTTTGCAGGACGGCGGGGCACGCGGCTTGCAGGGTCGAGTTGCTCTCGAGCGATTGGAGCTTGGTAGCGGCCACCGAGGCCTCGGCCTGAATGTTTGCGATCTTCGTCGCATCATTATTGGTCTTTGCCGCGACCTCGGTTGTGTTTGCCGCGAACTTGACGAACTGCTGAAGTGCGAATGTCTCCCGGCACTGATCCTCCTCCTCGGCTTGAGCATTGACAACTGCGCAGTCGGCTACCAGAGTGGCGTTGGACTGCATCGTAGAGAGTTTCTGAGCAGCTGCGGAGGCTTCGGCTTGCAGTTGCGTGACCTTGGTCGCATTGTTGTTCGTGATCAGCTCAAGCTCGGTGGTGTTGCTCGCGAAAGCGACAAACTTCTCAAGCTTGTGCATCTGCTTGCACATGGACTTCTCCGAGAGAACCTTGTCTCCCTTGGCTACCACCGAGGTAGCAAACAGAGCAGATAATAGAATCGATTGAAACTGCATCTTGAAGATTTGTTGAAAATATGACCAAAACCTGGGCTTCGTAGAAAAAAAAACGTGTGGGTATAAATGGACCAGCCGGGATAAGGAAAGAAAAGGTGAATCGAGAAGCAAAGAGACAAAAAGACCTGGCACTGGAGTATGCTGGAGAACGAAGACAGCGCAAGACGAAGACTCAAATAAGAAACCTGCTAGCCCGAAGGCATTGAGAACTCCCATTGCCACTCACAGTTTCAGATGCCAAGCTTGAGTGAAGATCTTGATGCCTTTGATCAGATGCACCTAAAACGCGTCTATCGTGAGACCCGACTGCTGCTTGCCATATTCCATAGGCTTTTCTCGGCTGTTCGCGAGGAAGATGCAAGTAATCTTGAGCAAAGTTTTTGCCGACGCGGCCTTTCAGTGCAGCCAAACGGATCTGGCACACAGCCATGAGGTTCAAGCATGAGTCTGGATGATACAAAGATTGTCTTGGACAAGGGAACATCATGATCGAGACGTTCGAGAAATCTTTAGCGAGGCTACAATTCCAAGGTCAGGTGCTAAACCTCGATGAGATGTCCTTGACGGCGGATTAAGATAGAGGAAGAGAGAATTGACCAACATCTGCTATCCAAAGGAGGACTCCAGGCTGACATTAGCCTATGGTTTGTATGTCCTCCATGTCACTGGTATTTTGGTTGGCCGGTAAAGGTACCTTTTACCGCACATCACGTGACTTGAGATTTGAATCGTACCTACGTTTCTACGAATGATTCATCGACCGCTCTGGAGTCCCATCCTCTGCGGCTGCCCAGACAATATATCCAGCAAGAATGCTCTTCTTATACTGCTGAACACCATCCGAAGCAATCGCAAACGCTACTGACTTGTATGGCCTCAGGCAGATAAGGCTACCAGATGCACAGACTGCTAGAGGAGGCTACGGAGTTTATTCCCGTATCACTCCACGTTGCAGAGAGCTCTACTGTGTCCGGAGTCGATAGAGAGGGTGAACCATCCCCCTTTGCTATTTCACTTCTTCAACTTCTTCTATTATCTCAGACCCATATGCACCTCCACGATATCAATCTCCTCCTCCCCATTCTGTGAGCAGCTCCCATATTATCAACGATGGTTCTCGTCAGGCATGAAATTCCGGTAGGAAGATTGCCCCCTGGGCAAGGCCGCTCCTCCGCAGGCGCTTCGATGCCTTCCGCGGCACCTCCATCCACCTACGAATCCGCCTCTCAAGTTCGAGGCTCGCCCTTCGAAAACCAAGCGGGACAAGCGAAGGATTACAGGACGGCCAGGATGCAGTTGGTGTTTTTAGAGCAGCGGAACAGGCAGCGTCTCGAATTCTTTGCAAGCCTCGCCAGAGAGAAGGAAGCCAACCAGAGTCGCAGTGACCCCTCGGCTCAGCCGCGGGAAGGGTCGGTGCCCCAAGGCTACGCAACTCAAACGAGAAGTCTGGAAGGGCAGAACAACAAGCCACTGGGGACGGCGAGTGTGCCTGGCCTGGAGATGGGGTCTCCGGGGTCATCGCAACAGGACTACTATATGCGGCAAAAGGCTCTAGAGCAGCAGAACCAAACGAGAGACTATGTGTCCAGAGAGGGCCCATGGCAACACCACTCGGAGCTGTTGAAAAGGTTGCAGCAGCACAACGTAAACAGGTGCAAGGCAATAAGAGCCGCCGACCCGGAAGCCTTTGATGCAAACCAGCCCGGAGTGCGGGCGGAGCTTATCCGGCAAGTGGAGGGGTGCTCTTTGCAGGAAAAAGGCACAGCAAGGACCCAAACCGAATACCTGTCTGGTCAGCGACTACCTGGTAGTCCGGGGACAACTTGCAGTCCCCCGGTACACACCCCGCAGTCCGCCAGTGAGTATCAAGCCGCATCGAGCCGTCCTCTGCCGCTAAGACCAGCCCGTGGACCTACAAACGTCGATGAGGATCTTTAAAGGGCTTGAATACAGGTGTCTATCCTTTTCATTCGCCGGCCGCCGGCGAGATCTACTATAAGGAATAATACATCATGTCCGAGTTTCATCTTGAAATTCTTGAGCGACCTGTTACATCTCGAGAGACTCGAGCTGCAAATCCAGCGGGAGTGTGTATTCAGAATCCATAGTATCAGGATCTTTTTTGCCTACTTGTTTAATCGTCGACACCCAGATTTGAACCCTAGTTCTGAGGCACTTGTAGAAACCAGGCTGGTGAATCTTGTAGTTCTTAGCTTAGGTTCCCTAAACATAATACAATACACTTACGGGTCTATCGTACTCGCATCAACGAACACCTTGTTTGTCAATAATCCACCGCTTATTTTCATGATGGAGGAGAACGTTTTTGAAGAAGCTAGTCCGAATAACGAGTTTTGGCATCGTAGCAACTGATATCAGGCTAGTGTGAATGACTGTTGCCCAGAAAATTTTATATTCCGATCGAGTGTATTGAGTCTGGGGGTAAGGGATGCAAAAAACAACTCTAATTATGGCCCAGGCCAGGCATAGGAAATAATCGGCGGCGCATAAGGTTCATGCTAGGTGTGCTTAGCCAGCGAGTAAGCTTATATTCCTTCACAGTGCTAAGTACAGTGCTAAGTAGGTATTAGAGTCTATCTGTCTTCTCCTTTGCCAAAAAAAGACTTTCACCTGATACAGTAATAAAGTTATATCTACGAAATGTCGTTAAGGCAAGAATCGGTAACTGCGAATTTCGAACGCTCAGAAAGGTTGTTCCTAGAAGAGCGTCGATTGCGATAAGAAGGAGACAAGAAGATAAGAACAGGAGCGCAGGCGTGCCGAAGAAGCCATCGAGCCTGCGGAGGAAGCCAAAGAGCGTGCGGAGGTAAAGAACGAGAAAGGAGACAAAAGCAATAATATTGAAAGCACACCTACGCGGCTGCCATATCTTCTTCTTGAGGCTACTCCGTACTCAAACAGACAGATAGACGCCTCGGTATACAAGGCTCTATTATAAACCCCGAGAACATATTTACCACGGTACAGGCCTAAGTACTACGTATTACCTACCCTTCGAGGGTGCCTCAAAAGTTTAGTTTCCACTTTCACCCCCCTGGTTACCCTACCCTCGAGGGGTGATACTTACGCCTGGGACGTAGTAAATTGAAGTGAATATACGCGAGCATAACCAGTTTATACTTTTAGATATGAATAATACTTCGCAGGATAGGTAGATATATTTGTACATTTAGGATGGATTATTAGATGAAAGGAAGGAAAATGGCTCTATCAATTATAGGTAAGGAAGAGGTATGATGATTGTGAAAGAATATTCCGGTATGTATGTATGTATATTTCAGGCAGGGTCTTATCCGTATTAATATGTCTGGCCATGACGAGTTTTGTATTTCGGACACTTGAAATTACTTACAACTTCTGAAAAAAAAAAAAAAAAAGAAAGAAAAAAAAAGGACAGAAGTTCCTTAGCAAATGAAATCGTGCTGATGGGTTCCTAAGCTACGATCCGGAGAATCAAGATTCTGTCTATCGAAAATGGAGGAAATGTATGAGAAACTTGACGCTCCTTAATTCCCATCTCGTGACTTTCCTGCTGAAGCCTCTTTCTCCGATCACCCTATTCATTTGGCTTGCGTCGGGCGGGTAGCAGGCGAAGCCTGCCGCCCTGGGACCTCTTATAAGATACGGCGACGTGCTAAGCTAAAGATTTACATACAAGACTGCTTTAGAAAGCATTTCAAAGTAGAGTATTGCGGCTACAATCAACTGCGCCTTTCCCTTACGGATAAGATGGATTACAGAAAGAGAAGACCCTAGCAAAGTAGAAAGCCGAAGAGGCAAGGCAGAGTATGCGGGCTAAGTGCTTGAAAAGGCGGCTACGCCGATCACATCGTTCAAGTGTATCCAAGTCGCAGGTAATGACATTGGAATAGAAATATCGAGTAAAGCATTTTCCAATGTTGTTCAGTAGTTCGCTAGCGGGTCCTCGGTTGCTTTTGAATGACATCAAGTAGACCTGTGTGCTGATATCCTTGAATTTAGAAGGAGTGTTCGGGTTGCACTTGTATCGCAGGATATCGATTATCGATTGTGTAAACTGAATACTGCCGTCGAAAAGGCTCTCTAGGAGTAATGGACTGCTTTCAAAAGGCTCTTTAAGACTTTAAGAGAGATGTGGCGAGGGAAGAAATCGAACATTTCGATCCGCAACGTAGGAAGATTTTCTTGGGAAGCAGACTCGTCTGCACTAATCCCAAATACAGACCAATGGCCAAGAGTATCCAGCATTTTTTCGATCCGGTGATGGTCATAGAGAACGCGTGTGCCGTTTTTCGCCTTGATATACGCAAGAGCTCTTGCGTTGTTGATGTCTGGAATGAGTTTTGTGACCCTCTTGTACCTCTCCTGAAACCCGGCCTTGAATAACGAGAAAAGCACGTTGGTGCTATTGTGCCTGAGCCCGAGATCAGGATCGATGGTGCCAATTGAACCCGAACTACAGAAAAGCGCCTTTCCGTTTTCGATCTCGATCTCGATGGCTATGATAGACAGTTTTGGTTTGTAGTCTTCTGACGAGTCCCCGGAAACAGAGGTGACGTCCCCAGGGTTTATTGAACCTATGGCAGCCCTCTTGTTTTTCGTAATGCCAATGGCTAGTCGGGAAAGATGGTGTGCGAGTTTGATCATGGTTAGCAGAGGTGTGACACCTGAGACCGTGGCAACGTAGTCGGGAAAAACGGCTTCTCCATTGGGAAGACCCAAATGACTTTCCAGATCATGCGAGAAGAATGGTGTAAATGCAAGGTGGTGCGATTTTAGGCTCGCAATTATGGTAGGGATGACCTCCGAAATGTATCCCATATGGGGCTGGTTGGTCTCCTGGATCGCAATTGGGTACGATTCCTGGAAGACAGTAAGTACGTGATTTTTGTTTTAGTGGAATACGACGTACCGGGTCATTCGGGACTGCACAACTTTGGATCGGAATTGATGGCCAAAGATGAAGCCGTGTGAAGAAGTGCGGTCCACAAGCTCGGAGCTCCTACCCAAATCTCTGATCTTATTCAAGGTATCCTGGTATCTCTTCGCGGCCTTGTCAGAAGGTAGCGATTGCGCTTCGAGGGTGAAGTTGACGAGCGACCGCTGAGATGCCTGAATGGATTGAGTCCGTTAGAATTATTCTGTATTCAGGGGTGGTGGGAGACTACCTGGAGATCAGGTCGTCCAAGCACCGAGTTGAGGTTGTTGAGTGATCATCTCTGGAATACGTACTCTGTCTTCGAGTTTCGTGGTCGTCCGCTCAGAAATGTTATGTAGAGCTTCATTGCTCTGGGGGTAGAATCAGGCTGTTGTGTGTCTTCGGACGGCTGCTGAATGTCAGAAATGTTCGCATAATACAGGGTGGTACATACGCAGACTTTTAGGACCGTAGAATCTATCTTCAACGGTAGTTCTTCGGTCTTGACTTCTGTGTGATGTGTGGGATCTGATTAGAAATCTCAGAGTCTGAATTTAAGGCCCTCGTATCAATATGTATGAATAGAAGGCAATGAGGAAATGAAGGAGAAGAGGAGAACATGCACGAAAAAAAAGAGAGTATATGAAAATAAAAGAGGACGAAGGGAAGTTGTAGAAAAGAATATGACAAGTGAGAAATATGATTGGTGAAGAGAGACGAAGAGGGGGTAAATGTGTTGAGGAGAGGGTATGAAGGGGAGAAGAAGAGGAAGAATTGGATATACCTTGGTTGGAGACCACGTCTGTATATGTGTTGGAAGAGTGAGGGAAGAGATCGAGAAGAAATTGAATCGAAGGAAGAAGATGAATCGGAAGACTGTAAAGGAGATAGAAAAGACAAAAGTTTGAAGAAGGTTGAAGGTAGAGAAGAAGAAGAGGATATACCTTGGTTGGAGGGCATGTCTGTGTGGGCATGTTGTTAGAGAGAAAGTGTATGTATGAGAGAATTGGAAGAGGGATGACTGTCGAAGAAGAATTGAGGTTTGTAGAAGAGGAAGAGGAAGAGACGAAAGTGTTTGAAGAAAAGATGAAGGTTCCGTCTGTGTATGATGTTGAGAGAAGAAGGAGAAGAGAAGAAAACGAGAAGGGTGGTAGTTAAATACTACTCGTGAGCGAGCTAGTTCAAAAGCAGCTAAATTATCTGATCTTCTTTTGGGGCAAGGGCCGATATACAAGCAGCTTAGTGAATATTATAAGTGAACAGCAAGCAAGGAAAAGAAATATAGATTTTGGGCAGGGGTCGCTGTGAGTACTCTAGAGAGAGGTGAACTGAAACCATCTCCTCTTGGCTATCGCCATAATTCCAGCAGATCATTCGACTCCAATATTCTCCTTACTCAGCCTATGCCAGGTCCGACTCTACTCGCGGTACTTCTGTGTTGTTATAGTTCACATCCCATGCTTCCGAAGACACGCAAACAGTCTATAAACAGTCTACCAATACAAGGACTTCGAACATCAAAGGGCTCTGATAATTCTCCAGACTTTTGGATGATCACATCACCGTAATACTCTCATACACTTCATATCACATTCACATATACGGATCATTCGCTAACGCATCCGCAGATCCTGGAAAATCTATATCCATCTACACCAAACCCTTCTGATTCGGAAGATATTGGTTTGGGAGAAAATGAAGAAGACACCGATACAGAAGATACAACTGCGTCTGAAGACCGAGAGTCCGACTCTTAAGAGCTTTCAGATACCGATGCATCTGGGTTCCCGGATATCCATCATGGCTATACAATGAGTCTGAAGAAATGAACTCTTAATCCGAAGAAGAGAATACGACTGGTGACCCTGAATTCAATCCAGAAGAATACATTTCGGCAGATGATCTAGAAGACGCCGGATCTGCTGGGGAGGGGGGATTGGGGATGACTCCAACTTTCTCGATCACAACTCAATGCATTACCTATCAGAAGCTCCTGCGAGCTGTTGCTAGACATGCCGGATCGACATACACTTGCAGCCCAAGTTGACCAGTATCTCACAGCGTGGTCAAGGAGCATCGGAAATGTCCGATTTTTCCTACCTTCCGCAATGGTCACAATCTCTTTGCGCTGTTTCAAGACATAACCGCTACTACGAAACTCGAACTCTCTACTACGATCAGGTTCACGAAACCATGGAGATCTTGGCATCCCAAGACCAGTTATGGTACGTTCGAACCTGTATCGAAATCCAATTTGTCAAGCCTAGACGGGCCTTCGCGCTTGAAGTAGCCGTCCATACCGTCTTCCAACGACTTCATCCGCGGCAGCCTCTGCCTTGCTTCTATGGTTTTCTTTCCTTGACGAGAGTTTTCTCTCTCGCTGCGATCCATCCTATTTGTAAGGAACGGGCGCAGTTGATGACAGCCGTTGCTATAAAAGCTTGAACTGCTTTCTAAGGCTGTCTTGTATGCAGCTCCTGAGCCTAGCACGTCGTCGTACCCCATGGGAGGTCCCAGGGCGGCAGGGTCCCCTGCCACCCGTCCGACGTTAATAAATACAACAAAAACAACAACGACTTCATCTAACGGAGAAACTCTCGTTCATTCGGCCATCTTTCTAGGATCCGACTCTGGAATCGTCACTACTATTTGATCGTCCTTTGGGTCTTACCGATATAGATTTCATCACTTCAACGTAAGCTGCCGATATCCGTCTCGTTGAGCAATATTTCGATGACAAAGCCCCTGACGGAAATTGATGAGAATTCTGCTACTTTTGAAGGTGCAATTTGACTAGAAACGAGAGGTGCAACTGCAATAGCGGCGGAGCCGAAACGGCTTGATCAGTATTATGGATGATAACACAGGCTTCGTCAGTGTTGGATTGCAGTTGCGAATCTAACCTTTTGCCGTCGGAATTTTCGTTGAAAGGTGTCCAGCCTGAAAGTCGCAACCCTTCAAAGTTCTGTCCAATTTGCTGGTCCAGTCTTTTTTCCAGTGCATCTTGGATTGCTGGGTCGGACTTATCGTAGTCACAGACCCAACGAACGTACCGGACCCATCACCATCAACATCTTTGAAGCCATAACTCAGCTTCTTGTGGTCCCTCAATATTCTCTCATATCGAGTCCTTTGATTTGGCAGCACCTTGAACACAAGACCCCTATACCCTAAGAACTCCTCCCTCTCAATACCCTTCAAGCCCATATCCAGATCAGAAAGTAAGCAAAATCCATCCATCCATCCATATCCAATACAGAATGCTAACACAACCTAGCGTTATCGTGCCTATGTATCAAGGGGTGAGCACTGAATTACTCGCCAATCTTAACGATTCTACACAGTTCGTTTATCTCAATGCCGACCTGGTCAAGATATCAGTGGTTTTGAAACACTACCACCTCCTACGAGATACTAGGGCTCCTTGCTACTTGATGAAAGAATCCAGCCCGCGACATCTAAAGGACCTAAATGGGCCAAAAACGAAAGAGCGAGGCTTCTGGCATGTTTGTCCATACTATGATGGAGCCGATGGAGGCCCCGGATGGATACTGCACATGATTTCAAGACGTGCATATGCAGATACATAAACAATAACTAAATGCAATGGAATTTCTTCCGAGATTGGCGCGACCACTTACTTACATCAACTTTTCCATCTCACGCAGCAGTTTTTCTCCGTTCACGTGATCAGAGTTCTTTCTATATCCTCTATCCATCCCTGGTCATACTTACTTTACCACTTACCCCCACATCACCTCACCCACTATTCCTTCTACCGTCTTTGCAAGACCTCCAAGATCCCGAAAGCAAACCGAAATACCACAACAATCCAATGGCATCATCAACAGATGCAGATCTACGTCTGTTAACCTTTCTCCCCCGACCGAAGGCAGATTCCACGGACAGCGCAGCCCGCTGTCAGGCAAGAGGCATACCAGCATACAAATCAGAGTTGCAAGATGCGAGCGAGAAGGGTATTTTCTACCTCGCACTCGCTGTTCTTGACGCCCATAATGCTCACTGCAATACCGCCGTTGGCTCATTTGGTTCGAGATCGGACGTGCTTCCCAAGATCATGACCATCTTATGCTCTCTAGCTCCTTCGACGATAACGGCACTGATTAATGGCGAATCTCATAAGCTTTTCGATCCCCGACTTGCGGCCTCCTACAAACTTCCAGCACAGCACTATACCCCAGCATTCGGCATTGGTGGGATCGAAGAGGAGCTTCCGGTAATATACCTCATGGCTGCCTGCAACAAATCAGGCCTCCCACCAACCATTGCCAATATTGAGTCGTGCGTTACTGCCATGCGAAATTATGGAACTATTCTTCCGAGTGGCGACGCAGGATGGAAAGCACTTGACGACGAGGCGCTGAAGATTGACAACCACAAAGGCTATTCTTTTTCTTCCGAAGAGACTGGATGGACCCCAACACAGGCCCAACAGAAAACATGGTTGCAGGCAAAAGACAAATCCCTCATTCCTCACCCCCGACGATTCCGTGCAACTATCCGAAATGGAATCAGCATAGAATCTTTCTGTTCTGCCATCGAAAGTCGCACTCGTCAACTCGCAAATGGCCCTTTGTATATGGGTAGCAAAGACCAGACCCTCTTGTGGACTCCTACATCAGTCGGGTACTCACGGAAACCCGCCAGGCGAAAGCAGCAGCACAGTTCCCACTACGGCACGGATTCTCGAGTCAAGAAGTAAGTAACGTTCTTTGGATATTTTGCTATGCTGACGGATCACAAGCCTTTTCGAAACATGTCTCGACATGGCCACCCGAGGCGAAGGATACTCGATGCGGTCTCAAAACCTGATATAAATTCTTGACGAAGATCACGCGAGTGTCGGCGAGCATACCATATCCATCCTCGATGGATCTTACGTCCAGTGGGGCGGTCTCAATTCTACAGCCGCTGGAGGAGGAGGAATGGACACCTCCTTGAGAGCTGCGGCCAGCGACAATATGTGGAAGACTGCGGTCACTGGATTGATCAAGCAGGACGTGTTTCTATCTAACGCTGCCGCAATCCACAAACGCCTGGAGATGGACAAGTTTCTTCGCGCCTTCCGCGACGAGGGTTCCGAGCTCACGGAATTGCTTCAGCTCAGAAAGGAGAACGCGGAGGCCAAACAGAAATTGAACGAAGCACAGAAGGAACTCGTAGTCAAGTGTAAGTGAGTTATTACCCAGCTACGGCATTGTCAACTAACAGAAGCAGGTCAGGCCATGCGACGCTCCTTTTTAAACTCGAGTCTATGGCAGAATAATGGACCACTTCATCCATGTATATATCACGTGCATCTAAGCGAGCTTGCTAAACATCCTGCTCATATGCTGTCGTGGGGTCAGATCACGTGAAGGGGGGGGGGTTAGAGCACGGACCAGTTAGTTGGGGAGCCATCTCCTTCCTCGATAGCTTCTATCTTCTAGCCAATACATCGGCCCTTTCACCTTGGAGTCCAGTCGTTCAGCTTATGCTGAGCTTCAACTCTTGGTCTTGTCCCTGATCAACACACGACATGTTCAAGGATACCTCGAGTATTATCGATCTGACTATCAACGTGGATGCTGCAATAAATAGCGCCGCGTCTCTCGATTTTCATTGCATTGCAGCAAGACCATTGAAGAGGAAGATGATGGTATTGATGTTGAGTTCCGAGAATTAATCCGCGTCATGAGAAATCTGCGTGGTGATCGAAGCGAGCTTGCGAGCATTGTATTTCCTGGGAGCTCCTTCCCTTACAAATAAACTTTTTAAGCGAATGGAATTGATTGGCCAGTTAAAAGTGGGCGTGGTGACGGGTGGCAGGATCTTAAAATGGCAAATAACGTGATTGAATTCTAGAACATAAGCTGCTTGCCATTTACCTCAACTCACTTTACTTACTTCCTTAATTCCATAACACTCGGGATCCTCCATTCTGAGACCCAGAACACACCCTCCAGGCACTCATCCGCCCAAGCTGACAATGTCTCCGGACCTTGTGCAAGCATACTCGAGATATCTCCAAGGGGCTTCCGAAGTCACGGTCTGGTCGGAAGCTGTCGTCATTGACCTGTTGCGAGCCACTGGAGCGCACATTGAGCAATTGGAAGGCAAAATCAAGGAGTTTGAGCAACTCCCTCCTGCGAATACCCTCACCCCATCAAAACCAGCTACCCCAATGATAGACACTGCTGGTTCCACCTCGACACAATCTATCCCGGCAACATCATCCACCTCCGGTACAACAGCACGGCACTCCAGAAGCCCACGTCTTGCCACGACAAACCCATCCTCCGATACTGGCTTCGCAAAGGCATCGATTCCATCGGAAATACCTGATTCGAGTGACGACGAACAAGAAGATACAATCGTGAGGGAACTTCGGGCACAACTTTCTAGCTGCAAAGGATCATTGGATCGAGAACAGAGAAAGTCCCTCTGGGCATTTGCTGCAATCCTGAAGGCACACGAATGTGGACCGTGGTTAACGGAAGAGTCACTCGCCCCGGTCTCAAACCGAGTCCGTGAATGTATGGACAAGTACTGCCGCCCTTCAGAGGCTCGGGCCGAAATCATACTACAGCCGAAGTACGCGCTTGCCTTGGCCGATGATTTTGACGACAAGCCATCTAAGCCTATACGACCATTCTCGTCGATGTACCTCCAGATGCTTACCGCCGAGTCCATCACCTGCCATCACGATAAAGCATTCCCCTTAAGCGAAATCTATGTCAACGATATTCTATGGCTGACTGCGCGGTTGCCTGAGATCACCTTCTCCATGTCCCATTCCGATGGCCAAAACCTCTATGAATTCATCGACGAAATCGTCGGAAATGTCGTGCTCGTTGGTCTCGGACGTCCGGCCCTTTTCATGCTTATCGCCAACCTGAAGCAACGGTGCCCGGAAATCACGCGCTTTGTATCCGGAATCTACACGCAAGTTGGCCGTGGTGATCTCGGGAAGCCATACACGGACTGGGACAGTTTAACCAGGATTGCCTTTTTCTGGTTGATGTCACATGGTAGCGATATGGACCCGTCCTTTGTGCACATCCCACCTCAACTGCGGCAGGGAGCTCAGCAGTATGTCCAAGAACTCACGTCGAAGCAGCCCAGAGACTTCCTCTCGCTGTTGAACCTCCCGTGTACCAAGGAATTCCTTGAAGGCGAAGGGCTCGCTGGGTACCGTTCGCTCGTCCTTTCCATTAAAAAGTCGATCAACGAGCAGATGGTTATCCTCCGCTGTGCGAGCGGCTCAAGTCCTCGCTTGGCTTCAGAGTTCATCTGGGTCACTCATCAAAAGAAATGTTGGTTCTCTGAAAGAGGACTGGAATTTCTTTGGCGCTATGAAGGAGGACCATGTGCCAAGGGATATGCTCGCCCAGTCTCTACGCATAATGTGCCGTGGTTTGAAGTCACAACCGATGAGGAAGACGACTTTCTGACTCCCTACTACGCACATGAAATCCGAGAGTCATACGAAAACTACCTTCTTCTAGAGAAGGCCAGTGCAACCTAATTATGCAATATCACACCATTCAGCTCACCTCCCTCTCTGTCAATTATGATTCTTACAATCTATCCTGCAATTGAGTATTCTCAACTCGCTCTCCCACACTAGCTTCCTATTCACTCGAATATTTTTCCCATTCCTATCCCTATTTCTATTACAACAAAATATCCCATCCCTACCACTCCTTCCTCACAACAAGATGAAATTCACCGCCTAAATCTTCTCATTTCTCAGAAATCTGCGCCCTCTTATATCCCTACACACCTTCTAATTTCTCCCCAACTCCTCGCCCTCTCCTTTCTTCTACACCAACAATACTTTCTTCTCCTTCACGACTTCTCTCACCCTTCTTTTACATCTTGTGTGATATTCACTCCTCCCTCCTTCACATTTCCCACCTTCCTATTTTCTCTCTGCCATTGACTGCTATTCCTTGAGAGGGTAGCTTATCCATAGTACACTAGAGCTCATCCATAGTTCGCGCTGCTGTAAGTCACCACTCCAACACGCTGTTTTAAATCATCTAACTTTCATTAGGGCATAGTGCCAGTGAGGCATCCTGGTGGCTCAATCTCCCCCGCATGGCCAATGGACATCACAGATTGAGAGAGTAGTCCAGTACATCCCGAAGATATCGATATCGAGAGTGACGGCGCCACTCTCGCAACATCATATGCCATACAAAACGGCGGGGTCGTTCCCTTACTAGAATTTCCTCTGGTATGGCACCCAGCATATTTGATGGCAGTCAGTACATCTGCCTGCAACCAGCACGAACGCCTTTTTCTGGTTGACAGCAGTCTATCTGGGGTTTCCCAGGAGACCAAATTCTTTTACGAAGGAGTTATCTACCAGCGCAAAACCCCAAGCAGGAGCTTGATCAATAAGAAGAAAAGCCAATGGTCTACACCGGAATCTCCAATGTCATCCAAGCTCAGCAGGGAAATATCGGAGACCGTCATCAAACGCTGCAAAGAATATCTCGCTGTAGATGTTTTCGGGCCGCCCGATGTGCGTGCATTATCTTCTGATAGAGGATTTGCGCATATGTGCTCAAGAACCGGGAGCTGCGAGAGATTGAAAATCTGGGGCAACTAGCAAGACATCTGGTCCCCCGCGAGTGTCTCAATCTTCTCTCACATAGCAGAGAGGCCCGCCTGAGATTGGTCAATTTTCAGATGCAATTCCCAGCCATTTCGAACTCGAGTGTTCAATTGAACGTGGCCCGGCTGTTCAGTTTCTACTGTTATGCTCAAAAAACTGTGCTGATCTCTACTTACCACCTATCTTTCATTTTGATGATCTTACTCCGAGAGCCAGCTATCAGCATCAAACCGGAAACCATAACTCTTTATAACGACAATCGCCTTTTAAATTGCGTGGCAGATGGCTCAAATTGAATTTGACCTCAAAGACCTGGAGAAATTTTTCCAATCAGCAGATCAACTTCTGCATTTCGATTGCGAGCCGACCGCTACACTGTCACACTCTATCTTTTCCATCTTACAGGCAGAAGGCAGGCACAAAGCGATCTGGGACAAAATTTATCCAGCGATCACCAGTAGCGATGCGTCACAGTCAATCCCACGTTCCAGGAGAAGACCCAGAAGCATAGCCTCAAGTTCAGATGTTGCCCAATTCTCACAGAACTTGCGGAACGCCTTTTCCAGTCGCCGAAAGGCCGATTTTGAGAAATTTCTGCGGTCTACCAGAAAAAGAAACTACATAGATCTATTCGGGCATGTTTACATGGAGATGAATACCAAACCAGGGCGTCGTGATGAGATTAAGGCGGCCTTGGATATCCTCTTCCGACAGGAATAATGATGAATCGTTCCTCCTTTAGCTACCATACTTAATCAACCCTATCGAATATACGGATTTGATTTGAAACTCATGCCCATCATAGCGGATATATGCACACAGCATCAGCTAATTGCTCATGCACAAGATTCCTTTTCGCATCAGAACTAAGGGTTAATCCTTCTTGAAATTTGTTCATCAATCGGTGTTTATTGTATCGATTATGGGGCAGTAGTCAGTTCTATTGTTCCAAATTCCTGCTCTAACTAACTCTAGTGAATAATAACAGCTGTGTAGAGTTCATCCTATCAACTCTATAAGTGTTGATGCGAAATTGAATCCTACCGTTAGGAGCTAGAGGGTCACACAGCGTCTTATCATTTTTCTCAAATTTTATCCACGCATTATTTATTGAGCTAACAACTTGAAGCTTTTACTTTATTATATCCTAAGATGACCGATTTTTGTAACATGCAGTCTTCAGCAGATTTGCAGTTTCGAAGCTTCGTGCCTCCAAGGTGAATTCCTCGTAGCTCGGTGTCTCAAAGGTGAAGCCTTCTCTTGTTTCCGTAACACATTTACGACTTATAACAATACACTTCCATTGAGCGGCTAAGACGAGGAAGGAACCTCCATGCGTGGAAATACCCACTACATCTTTCTGAGATGTAAGGTCAGCACCCACCCGTCTTCCCGTCTCAATTGTCTTCCCTCCTACAACCTACCATCTTTCCTACAACACACTCGTCTTCCCGTCTCAATCTTCTTCTCTCCTACAACCTACCATCTTTCCTACAAAACACACTCCTCTTCCCGTCTTAGTCATCTTCTCTCTTACAACCTACCATCTTTCCTACAAAACACTCGTCTTCCTGTCTCAATTGTCTTCCCTCTTACAACCTACCATCTTCCCAACTTTGTCTTCGCACAAAGTCAAAGCAGAATGCTACCCAAGTACGTCTCTCTATCGACGACTGCATCGCTTTGCTTACTGTTGTATAGGAAATCCAGCCCGCCTACTGGCAAGGTTGGTACTCGTCAGGAGCTCTTGCGAAAACTACGAATCCCTGAAAATGATGAAGGCTGGAGCAGGATTTCAGGAGGGGCTGTTTTCCATATCTTCCGCCTATTCAGCTCGTACAGAGACGCCTTACAAAGTCAGATCGCCGCTCTCGACGATTTTGATAACCCTCTCGACATTTAGCAATTTTTCAAGGATAACAAGTGCAGATTAGTAGAGCAAGCTACACGCACGGATGAGGCCAAATGCAGTCTAATTGTGGAAAGCGATGTTTAGGATGAATTCAACATTGCCGAGATTTGGACCTTCGCTTGCTTTCGGATTGTTCGTCTTAGGGCCACAATCAGCCCTAGATTCGAGTTCGATACCTTTACCATGGAAAAGATCCAAGGTGCTCTCACTCTTCTCCAATTCTTGCTAAGCGTTGAATATAGTAAAGGATTATGGAAAGAAAATAAGCGCAGGACCAGTTGGAAGCCGGCCCCTGAGCGCCTCAATGCCGAACTCAATCCAGATGCCATCGATTACCCGCCCGGCTTCGAGTTCCCAGACGATTTCATCAGGCAGACAACGGAGACTGGAATTGAATACCGACAGCTTATCCGGAACACACAGCGACAGAAGCTACGCGATATCATAAGACAAGTCTCACGTCTATAGCCGACGACTACCGCCTTCTAACAAAGCACAAGAGTCGATGCATCTCATGCCATCAATCATGACCATTCGCAAGATCCCTCCATGTCAACCTCTAGGTGGTTTGAGCTCCAAGCCGAAATCGCTAATGAGTTTTCCAACGCTGTTTTTCAATGCCTCGAATACTCGACCATATGCGAAGAACTGGGGTTCGATCACAACAGACCTCGCTTCGAAGCCATGTCACCTGACCTGATCTTGACGCCCGGTCAAGTAACGGGCATCGGCTGGACAGTGCGCAGGTTCTCTGAGGATCACAATCCAACCATGATGGGACAGCTCATTGCAGACTTCTGCGGTTCGGGGAAGACGGGTATTGCAATCGGGATCATCCTATACCTAGAACAACTGGACAAAGAGGGTCGCGCCCACTCTGTCGCAGAGGGGAATCGGTTCCAATCGAGTGCGATCCTGTTGGCAGTCCCGCTGAATGTCTGCTCACAATTGGTGTCCGAGCTGCAGAGATGGGCCCCAGCTCTAAAATTCGAGCGTTACTATAATGCTGCGGATCCAGACCCTATCCGCGCTCAAGACTTTGCCCCGGGTGGCCGATTTGACCTCTATGAGCCAGACAACCCTCACCTCTTCCTCACGACGTTCACATACTTCTCCACGAATCATCCCGCACCGTGGATGTACGATGCCAACCTGAATGAGTACTCGCTGAATCCAGCATACGACAGAAGCACATCTCTCGCGAATGTCTTTGAATTTCTGCTCGTCGACGAAGCGGATCAGCTGAAGAAAGGGGTCAGCGGCACATGGGGTGCCGCTTTCGTCGCTCTGAAGGCAAGGAAAAGGACCACCTTTACCGCCATCCTATTCCCAAACCGGATTTCCGACATGATTGGCATGTTGGAGTTGCTCGAGCCTCCACCAGATCGCTTATGGCCATAAACGCGAGAAAAAGAGACCGATCGGGATTGAGACGATTTGGAAGAGCATAAAAGATGCACCTCTGATGCATATTACCACTACGTGGTTCGTCTACTAGAAAGTGAGGCTGCCCCTTCCATCCTTTCGAATCTTATCGCTTTGGTATTGACATATCCATCTTATAGCCTTAATTATACGCACCGAAGCTAATGCACAACGATGGAAGAGCTTCAGGGATTTATCCATCGAGAAGATAAGAATATTACAAATGATTTTATAAATAATTTTATTAAGGTTATAATTATATTAATGTTTTTATAGATATCTTATAGATGTCTTATAGATGATTTTATTAATGATTTTATAAATGCCTTATAAATGATTTTATAAATGCTTTATAAATGATTTTATAAATGATTTTATAAATAATTTTATAAATGATTTTATAAATGCCTTATAGATACCTTATAAATGATTTTATAAACAATTTTATAAACGATTTTAAACGATTTTATAAACGATTTTATAGATGCCTTATTAATGATTTTATAAATGATTTTATAAATGATTTTATAAATGATTTTATAAATGATTCTATAAATGATTTTATAGATGCTTTATAAATGATTCTATAAATGATTCTATAAATGATTCTATAAATGATTCTATAAATAATTTTATAAATGATTTTATAGATGCCTTATAGATGCCCTATAGATGATTTTATAAATGATTTTATAAATAATTCTATAAATAATTTTATAATTAATTTTATAAATGATTTTATAAAAGATCTTATAAATAATTCTATAGATAATTCTATAAATGACTTTACAACCAAGGTCCTTATGGTGCATTGTGTGTCGTTCGTTCCTAGAGCGCGTCTAACTGGGGTGTATGGGCCTTCCTGAGGGGTCTCCGGATTGACCATGTCGAAGCGTACCTTCTTATCCCGATTGCTGTGCGCTGATAAAAGGTCACCGCCGGCCCGCCGGGCCGGGGGACAATTCCGTCGATTTTCTTTTGAGGGAATGCGTCTGATTCGAGGAGAGGTCTGTTTGGGCATTCGCTGCGGCATACGTGCTTGCCCTCGTCTTTCTCGCACGGCTCGACATTGTTCTTGTCATCGTGAGGTTTTAAAAGGGAAGAAGAAAGGAATTGATGGAAAACATTTCTTAAATGTGCGTTGGAACCTGTCCACGTGACTTCCCAATTAGGAAAGCTCCTTAATTTTTCCCTGTTCGTGTCGTATAAGGAAAGTGCATCCTCCCAGCACTCAGAGCCCGTTACGTTTTTGTTTTTGCTACGCAAATTCACTACCGGTATTGATAAATTCACTTTAAGCTTCATTTTCTTTTGTGCCGCGTATCTGCTATTGCTTCAGGTCTCTTGTTGCTCTAGATGCGCTACTTAGCCAAACAGGCTCTGTGAATGAATTTCTTATAGATGAGAGAAATCCAACAACAAATTTAAGCTAGAATGTGCTTCCTCTCAGTCTATACACTGTGCCGTTAAATCAACCCCATTGATGCCTTAATACTCACTATTATAAATTTCTTTAATCCTCCGAACTTCGAGCATCTAAACCTGACAGTATCTTCCGATATATGCTGCAATCATTGTCACTTGATTTATTAATATCCTAAAGTACTTTGTCTATATCTTAGAATAATATTAAGTCAAATCTTTAGCTAAGCAACAATTCATTTGTACAAAAGAATCATTATAGTGCACGACTATTACCTAAAGGTGAAACGGTAGAATTCTTAGTATTCGCTGGCATTATCTTGAGTCTAAGATATGCCTACCCAAATGTAAGCTCTTAAAAATCTCTATTTAAAGATCAGCTTTATCTAGATAAACGCTCGAACCGTCTCGCTATCTATAAAATAAAAGCACACAGCGTCTGTATCCCTAGAGTCCAATCGATGAAGGCACTGTGGACACGCAGTATCGGTATTGGACCATATATTCTGCTACCACTCAGCCAACCCACTCACACACCCCTCCTCTTCTTCTGGGCCATAGAAGCCAATGTTCCATGTACTATCCGGTTTCAATCTCGTGAGAGCCACATTATAGGCCGATCCTTGTTTGTCTGAACGCTGATGCTCCTCCAGCTCGGTGTCCGCTTATCTTCCACGAATATCTGTGACTTCAAGCTTTCTGGAAGCTCACACTGCATCAGTAGAGGAGCCTGACCCCGACGAGGCCTTGCTCTGGGACCGATTTTGAGGAGTTTCCAAGCCGAATTTGATTAACGCTACGCCCCTGGCCCTCCTCCGGTACGTGCTCAACTCTAATAGACTCTTCTCGCCTTTCATTCTCGTTGGACAGCGCACCCGCCATTTCTCGTCCACTGGGATCCCTTTCCGCCTCAACCTCTATCCCTTGTATGCCCTCAGAAGGTGTGCTTCTGACCCTCTTCTGCCTTGAAGTTCCCTGGTCGCCTGCCAGATCCGAGAGTTGCCGCTTGCGCCCTTGACTAAACAGCGACCCGTCGATCTCCTCCCCTTCCCCATCATCTTCCTCCACGGCATTGTCATACCAACTCGCAATAACCTCCAAGTCCATACCACCCACCCCCCCCTTCGCATCTTCAATGAAACCAGCAATCCTTTTGAGTTCCTCGGCTTTCTGTGACTCATCCTTGGTACTCAGCAACGTTGCTATCGCAACAATAGCGCTATGCAGGCGAAACTCTTGAGTAGCGCCCAGGTCCTTGATCTTGGAGTCGAAGTCACTCGACTGTCTGAAAAGCTGTATGTTGTAATCCAACAACATCTGTATCATGCCCTTCTTCATGGCGTCCAGGTTCTTCGAGAGTGAGTGTATTTGGTTAGGAATGAGTATCTTGAAATCAGATCTCAACCTCACCACGTCTTGGATGATCCCGTCGGCTAAACGCATGGCCTCAGCAAATTGGGCACACTCTTCGAGTTTCGATATATACCTGGCGTGGTCCACTTCGATTTTTAGTAGCGACTTTGAATTTTTCGTGAGTGTTTGTTGGATCACATCCAACAACGCACTCGACCGTTCGCTATCCGTTCTCCGCATATTCTCCAACACGTCTGATTGGGTTCCAATGGCCCTATCGCGACTTTTGAAAGGAAGAAACCAAACTCCTTTGATCCTGAGGCTAATTAGTACTGGAATGCTTCTCATGAATAGAGAATTCAGTCAAGGACGTACCATTTTGAAAATAAACCAACGCATTTTCATGAAACCCCGGTCCTACTTTGAGGTGTGGGGGTGGGGGGGAGACGCGTTGCATGGAGGGGAACTTGAAGGTGGGGGGCAGGTTGTGTGGAGAGGAAAATATTTTTAATTTCTCCTTGTGGGAGAAATCTGTGAACCCTCTTAGCGCGCACGTGCGCCTGTGAGGCCTGATGGCCTCAGGCCATTACAGTCCCGAACTCAATTAGTGCTGAAATGATTCCCATAAGGATAAGAATTCAGTTAAGGACATACTATTTGAAGATAAATCAACGCATTTTGACGACTTATTAATAGTCCTTGGAAATTCCAATGCATATTGTATAATCACTTTGCTACCCATTTCTTATGAATACCGTCCCGTGACTTTACTTCAATCCTCACGTATCCAGGCTTGTCCATGTACGACCCTAGAAGCCTCCGAGCTGGAAGAGACCTATGCATCGAAGCATCTCAGCTCGCAGAAGATCATGCCCCCCGTATTTATTGTATGCGGCGATTGAGCGTCGTGCAAATCCTATTACATCTGAATATCTGAAGTGGCACATTCTCTAGCCCGTCCATCCAAGCCGGTGCCAAGATCCGCACCGATATAATCCTAGCGAGAGTACTCCTCGTCGTCAAGAGGGGGATATCAGAATCCTCCCATCCCCTACTCTCCAGTACAAAGAAAGCCCATCGGATCATGCCCCCAGCATTTTTTATTCGGAACCTATGATTTCGTGTCCAGGATTGGCAGTCCATTATGATCGTCGACTACCTACACGCACGGGACAGAATCATCGATTCACTTGAGAGTTCTGACAATCCATCTGCCTTGATTCCTTATACCATCGGCACCGGTCCTAGTTACGGAGATATAATTTGAAAAGCGCCTTTGCAACAATACCGCATCCAGCTCCTAGCGAAAGGCGCATCTCGTCCGAAGCGCAACCCCAATGCGGTCGGCAGCAAGCGACCATCCAAATCGGAGAATACACAACCGCGTCGTCAATCCAAGGCGGAAGGTTCCAGTGACACGAAGCCCAGAGCTAGCAGAAAGAGACTCGCTATCGACCTCGATGTGTTCATGCCCCTTGTGACCTAGAGGAAGCCCAGATTGTTAGCCCCACCCAAGCCCGACGAAATTCAGAACGGGAACATCGTAATAGACGAAGTTGTGATGGAATCCCAGACCCCCCCTCCTCATGACGATACGATGTCACAGCAAGAGGGGCCAGGACCCGACGAGATGGATCTCTTACCCACCGGCGCAGCTCTCGCAGGACAAGTCACTGTACCAGACTCAGTTGAATCTTTGGGGTCCTTTGATTATGATCCGCTGTCTCAGCCCTAGGCGCAAGGACCCGACGAGATGGATCTCTTACCCACCGGCGCAGCTCCCGCAGGGCAAGTCACTGTACCAGACCCGGTTGAATCTCTGGGGTCCCCTGATCACGAAACTCTGTCTTAGCAGGAAGGGGATGCATTTGCCGAGATGGATACCTCGCCGATTGGCGCATCTCTAACAGGACCAGAGACTGTGCAAGTGGAAGGGTGTTCGGACAGCCACATACCGAGCCTCAGCCAACAGCCGACACCAGCAAGTACCGCTCCTCTGAGACCAAATGCACCCCGAGTTCCTCCGAACCCCCGGGCCCAAGAGACCGAGAAGCCTGTCGCACCGCCGTCAACATCCCTTCCCTTCGTGCATTGCAGCATCCTCCAGTACTTGATTGACCGTACCGAAGCCAGGGTCAAGCCAACTCAAAAGCAGAAGGACGCCATTTTTGTCAAGCACAACTGGATCGCGGGAAAGTTCACCTTCCAGGCCTCTCTCAAGGGCATCTGGCAACTGTTCAAGACCATCGATCACTCCATCGATAAACAAGGCTTCAGCATCACGGCGGTAGGAGAACCAGACCTGGCCCGTCTTGTTTGGGGTATCCGTTCCACCTCGGCCGAAAGCAAATGGTCCCTCATCCGACGGGACATATGGTGTATCAAATGGACGGCCAAGTATAAGACCTAGAAAAACTCCCTCGATGCCGACGAGTACGAACACCTGGCGAATGCGTACGCTCGCGCCTTCAACACCAACCGAAACCACCGCACCACCTCCATCAAGGTGTTCGTATGGGTCAACCTCGAGCGTTTAAAACAGCAGGGCGAATCTGACGTAAGTCCCATCTTCTGCCAATCCCATCGGAACTGACTTAAATGCAGCCTAAACTCGCGGACATGATTGCCGATGCCATCGCCACTGGCACGGCATGTGAGGCCTTTCTCCTCACGCTATTCCAGTGGCAGCACCTCGGAATCCTCCTCATCCCCTACGAAATCCTCCACCGGCCTGAAAAGAAACTCAGACGACCTGGCGCCCCAACCCTATCCAAATGGGGCAAGGCCCGCATCCAGATGATGACAGAAGTCTACAGTATCTACGCGGACATGCCATCCATGCGACTATTTCTGGCCGAATTCGGTCCCTACCTAGAAGACCTCCTCCTCCCGACTTTCGTCGACAGTTCGATGATAAGGTACCATTTCTGTCAACTCCTCGAACGCAAATTCTCCAACATGCTCGGAAATCGATCGGCGAAAGAGTGGCTCGAATCCGACACCGACACGCATTCCTCCTTGCCGGACATCCTCTTCCGCACCGAAGGCCATGACCATGTCCGTTTCGATGTTGGGTCCATCAACGTCTCGATACCAAGAATGGCAATGTTCAGTCTCATACCCGAGGCCTCGTTGCAGCCCGAAATCATGGACCTCCTTGTCCATTCCGTGTCGTCCCCGTGCGAAGATATCGTCTACATCGATTCGCTAGACATCTTCCAGCCCAAACCAACTGGTTACGAATGGGACCCGCAAATAAAAGAGTAGGATCCATACCCCTTATCCGAGCACCAGCTGATGACGTTTTAGGATTGTATTTTCACATATCGATATCGACAGCCGTGGTTGGGTGGCGGTTAGGGTCGAGACGACGTCTCATCCGCCAACTGTGCGGATAATGCACCCTCTGCGTTCTGATCCGGGATTAAGCAAGAGTCGTTTACCCCCATCAAGATTGACCCAAGCAGTCCGAGAGGTCCTAGAAAGACAGGCTATACATCTCTCCAACTCATCTCTCATCCTATACCAGGACTGCACGAATACGCCCTCGTCTTCCGATAGTGGGATTATCATAGCAAGGACTTGCATGGATCTGGTCTCACAAGGTTCGAGCGGACGTCAAAGTACGAGTGTGGCACCTATGAGCAGGGAGGCTATTGAAGAAGCCAGGCTAGAATTTTATAGCATATTGGATTCGCTGAGGGTGAAGGGAGAGGATGAGCTCGAAAGCAGTGGCCCGGAGGACACTGAATTTTCGGATTCTTGACGAAATGGAAGATAGTTTACGATATGAAACCAGATATCAGATGCCCTTGGGGCTTGAGCAATAGCTAATGAATCAAATCTCTATATCCGGTCCTGTTGTTGTTGTTGTTGTTGTTGTTGTATTTATTTACGTCGGGCGGGTAGCAAGCGAAGCCTGCCGCCTTAAGACCTCCTATAAGGTACGGCGACGTGCTAAGCTAAGAAGTTACATACAAAAAGGCCTTAAAAAGCAATTCAAAGTGTTATAGCGAAAGCTACTATCGCATGCGCCTTTCTTTTACAAATAAGATGGATCATATAAAAAGAAACCTTTTATTAAAGGAAAACTATAAAAGAGAGAGTCGAGCATGTATAAACTGCTGTAATCAGTTAAAAGCGAGCTGTTCACGTCGCGTAGCGATAAGAATCAAAGCCGGACCGAGGTCAGCCGAGTATAAAAGAAAAGGTGAATACGAAAGCTTAAACTTTAAAAGAAAACTTAATATAATATACTAATGCTCGAGAGAATTCCTTCGAGAGCGCACTACGCTATCTTAAAGTCTTAGTCTCGTGACGCGGTTGATCTAACGAGCTTTTATAGCTTAAGTAAAGCGGAGCGTACCCCGTTTTCTTTACTAAAGCAGTATCAATTAGCTAAAGTAGCACTTTTATCGAGTATAATGCTTAAAATAGAACTCCGTAATAATCAAGAAGGCTTGAAAATCGGCCGGATTATTAAAAAGACTTTTAAAGAAGTCGTAAGCTTTCGAAATCGTGCTCGAAAAGGTCCGCGGTCGGGTCTTATAAAGCTAAAAAAAGAAGCGTCGTTGCGTGAATCGGCAGAAAGCTATATGTAAAAAAGACTTGCGTTTGCCGCAAGCATACTTTAAGTTGGCGTCGTAATGCTAAAACTTAGTATAGTATTAAGTAAAGTCTTCGTGCGTAGTTCGGATCGCAAGTAGTTTATATAAGACATATCGTAAGAGTTTTAACTTTAAGAAAGGCTTAATTAAGTATAGAAAGCTTTATTTCCGATACGAGCGTAAAAGTTTAAAAGAGCTTGCGCTCTATTAAGCTTTTCGTGCTTTATTTCGTATATCGCAAAAGAGCGTGCGGATGCCGTTAATCGTAAGTTGCGATGCTAAACCGATGTTTTAATTCGGTTTCTTTGCTTTTAAGTTTGCAAACTTGTCCGTTCGTTCGTTTTTTTTAATGCTTATATGCTTTAAAAACTATCGTATTCGTACGTTTCGAGTCTTTATTACTTTTTAAACGTTTAAAAACGCTTATTGCGATGATAAAGAAGCATTTTTGCGAAGATATTAAATGATTGATATGTTATCGATACAAAGCTAAATCCGTTTCGCCGTCGAATAAGCGTGCACTACTCGTTCGAAGCCTTTTTATGCTTTTATCGCTTCCGCGTTAAAAACGTAAAAGCAATCGTTAATAAAGCCGTATTTATAGCTTATCTTTTGCCGTCTTCGATAAACTACGTACTCGTAGCTTATTAATCGGTTGCTTTAATCGTACTATTTTAATCCGTCCGAAAAGATCGTAATATCTTTTAACGAAAGCTATTGCTATTATGCTTCGAATGCGGCAGCAGCTTCTTTTTTCGTTTTGCCGTTCGCCGAGTTTCGTTTGCTTTTCGATATAAAGTGCGAAAAGACGAAGCGAAAGCGAAAAACGTTTAAAAAAAGAGTTCTTAGTTTTTAAATCTTAGTTTCGAAGATCTTAATAGTCTTCGCGCCGCGACTGCGTTATCGGATCCGCAAAGGTATCCGGCTAACTAATAAGTGCTTATTATTTATCGTCTTTAGTTTTATTATAAACTTAGCTTTAGCTTTTTTTAAAGTCGCAGCGCCGAAAAGAAGCTCGGCATCTCGAAAAAGCGTTGCCGTTAATATCGTTTTTTAAACCGAGAATACTTCGCGCGCCGCGAAAGTTATCGTCTTATTAATAAAGTTAATTATCCTTCCGACTCGAGCGTTAATAACTTTTAGTTTTCTAGACTTATAAATTAAGCGATAGCGCTTTGCGTATTACGCTTCCGTGCCGTAAAGTATCAAAAGCAGCACGCAAGTAGTAATTGCTTTGCGCAATAAAGTCGCAAAAAGACCGTAGATTATCTTAACGAGATTGCGGATATGTTAAGCGACTTTCTTAGCTTTAACCGCTCGTTCTCGAACGTATCGACGGAACTTCAGCTTGCGGTTAAACCAAACTTTAAGCTATCGTATCGCAAGTGTATCTTCGTCTTTCGGACTTGTAATAATGCACGGAATAATTATAATATCGATTACGAAAGAAAAAGTATACGTACTTTTCTTACGAAAAAAGTATATTATCTCGATCTTTTTTAAAGCGAAAACGATCTTATAAGTATTATTTTACTTAATAATAAAATTAATATCGTTTCGAAGCATAGCGATATTCCGATTAAAGATGCGATTAACGCGATACAAGCAAATATCGTTAACGTACTTAAAGCGCAATATCCGGTCTTAATTAAATAGCTTAGCTAAGTAAAGCATATAAAGCACTAGTAATAGCGAAGATCTTTACAAAGTGCTGCATTTTACGTCGTAAGTGTTCGTGATTTCTTTTTTTAATCGGACTTTAATTTTACGATTTAAAAGAAAAGATTTTATTAGCTTAAGCAATAAGTACGGCTAGCCTTGCTCCGTTATGCGTTTAAAAAAGCGACGGGTCAAGACCGTATTAAAAGCTCTTTAAACGTTTATAATAACTATAATAACTTAATATCTAATTGCAAGTATAGACTCGATATCGTATATTAAGCACGAAGCGAAGTTCAATATAAAGCGCCGTAAAAAGGCTTTCGCGTGCTATAAACTAAAGACGTCGTTAATAAAAGCAGTTTACGTAATTCTTTTCGCAACGATGCGCTTTAGTTTTTTAAAGATATACGAAAATAAAGCAATCGATTATTAAAAGCAAATAAAAGTCTTATCTTTTTTCTTTACTTTAAAGATTATCGAAACTTTAGCGAGCTTTTACGCATCCGAAAAATAATAAAAAGCTAAGCATTTATTAAAAAAGCTATAAAAGAAATGATAAACGTATTACTAATATGCTTTAAGCAATCGTACGATGATCTTGTCCGTTTCGAATAAAGTGCTTATCACTTCGATTACGTAAGACTTTACTTTTTTTAATAATACCGTAGTATTTTAAAAGAGCCGGCTAATGCTTTTTTAACTAGCGAATAGATCGTAGTCGAGATCGTCGGCGGCGCTAAATCGTTTAAAGATGCCTTTTCGCAGCGCGTCCGCTTTCTTTTTAATATCTTCGATAGCTTCGTCGTTAATTATTAAAAAGAGCGATTTCAAGTTCGAAATAAGCTTATGCTAGCTTATAACCTTGTATAAGTCTTAGTTCGATTTCACTTCGTCGATTACGTAAGTTTAATAAGCCTTTTTAACTTTCTTAATTATAACGAGTTAATCTCGCGTTTTTTAAGTCGGTTTTCCGTCGTACACTATAGAGCGCGCTACTAAGTGTTTTTTATACGCTATCTAATAGTCTGCTATCTATTATAATATAGCCGTTAGCTTTTCTTAAGCAAGCTATCTCGCAACTTTTAAAATAAAATTAAAAGCAATAATTAAGCTAATCGCAACTTAATCGAGTTCTTCGATAAAATGTATCGTTTATAAGTCGAAAAGCTGGTTTACGCTTAACGCTATAAGCGAAGCGAATTTCTCGAAGTCTTAGTCCGGTACTCGGTATTAAAAGCGCTTTAAAAGAACAACTTTTCGGCTAAAGATAATCGTGATTTAAATCTCGTAATTTAAGCTCGAATAAAGATCGGAGCGAATTATTGTTTAAGCAAACGAGATATTTAAAAAAGTTAAATCTAAAACGTAACTAGCTTTATAAGTAAAGTCGCTCGAAAGTCTAATATAATCTATCTTATTAGCATTAAACTAAGCCGCAAAGTCTCTTTTTCGGCTTTTAAGCTTAACCTTTAATTCGAATATATCGTACTACGCATTAAAGTCTTTTTTAATTAAGCACTTAAAAAAAAGGACAAAGTAAATGATATAATTTATAATCGGATCTATTAAGAATTGCCGATAAACGTTCAAAGTAGCGAAGCCGTTTATATCGACTTATAAAAGATCTTTATTACGAATAGAACGGCGTTATTAAGTGCGAAGACTTACGCTTTTGCGTACGTAAGTTATCATTCGTAATCGCTTAGCGAAGTATTAAGTATCGTCTTAATTATCTTACGATTTTATCAAAGCATAGCAATCGTAAGACGGATGGTTTTAAGTTTTAATGCTCGAGTGCGTATACGGCTTTTAAATACAAATAACGTTAATATTTGCCGAATAGCAAAAGTAAAGCAAAGCAATATAATATAGCTGCTCTTTGCTTACGTTCGCTTAACAAACTTAGATTTCTTTAAAAAGCTATCGATTGCGGCGAGTGCCGCGGTACCGTATTAGCGTGCTTAATATATAAAGTTGTTTTAAGCATTTTAATTAATAATAATACTCGAGCCTTTTACAAACGAAAAGGATAAGCTAATAATATTGTTTACGTGATAATCCGATATCGCTATTAACGTGTCTTTTCTTTCGTCTATAGCAAAGAAAGCGCTATCTATTAAAGTCTTTTCGTTAAGGTTTTTGCGCGTAGCCGTATTGCGCAAAAGTCTCGTAGCTTGCGTAAAAGCTTAAAAAAAAGATTATAAAAAGACGGCTTAAAAAGAAGTCGCTCGCTTATGCTCTTGCACCGCAAGAGCGCGTCTTTTTCGAAAGAGAGCCGCGTTAATACCGGTAGCAAAAGTCTTTAGTTAAAAAGCCGAGGTCGATTCGTTTTTTTTTATTATAAAAGCATTAGCAATAGCGTAAGCTTAAGCTTTTAATCGTCGGACGGCGCTTAGCTCTTTTTTAATAAAAGTGATCACCTTGCCGTTGACTCGCTTAAGAGCCGCAAAGCAGTTTTTATAATTAGCTTCGTACGAGCCGTAACAATTTGCATAGC